TCTCATCTTCCAAATTCATCGTGGATAGGGTCCAGTCCATTCATTTATGCCATCGACGCCATTTGCTCCTATGCTGCTAGCTTCTCCCAACCCCTTTTCCCCTCACAAATCATTTGCTTGTTTTCTTCGTAGATCAATTAGAGATATTGCTAGATTGGTTTCTTTTCTTCCTTTTTGTCTTAGATTGAGATTGATAAAATGGTTTTAAATTGATTTTTTTTTTTGAGGATTTTTACAAAATAGAAAGAGGTGATGGTGATATTCTTGTTGGGGATTTTGGTTTTTATAAATAAATGGAGGTGTTGTTTAAAGATGTGAATTAAGTTTTGAAAAGAATAGAAATGGCGGTGGCGATGGTTTTTGGGTGGTGGCGGGCGGCAGTTTTGTAGAAGATGAAAGAAGAAGAAAGAGAAGTCATACTAATTTTGAGATTGGTAAGATATGTTTGGACTTGATTTGTTCTTTTTAGTTTTGGGATTCTTACAAACTGAAAGGTAGCTATGTTCATATATATTATTGTTGGAGTTAGTTGAAAGTGAAATTGTCGCTCCTTAACTAGAGAGTTCTGGGTGCTTAGTATAATTTGCGGGGTTTTACCCCCATGTTCAGTGGAGTTCACTGACGTGAATTTAAAATATATACATTAGACATGTAAAAAAAGTACTATAAATTTATTCAAAAAAAAAAGAAAGAAAAGAAAATAAAACAAATATAATGAAGAGGACATAAAATTCAACTACTACCATATCCAATTTTGTTTGGAACGCACCTTTCGATATTAATTTCATTAAGTTAATATCAACTTTTGCGTACTAATTTTATTAAGTTGGGTCTATTTGGGAGCTTTCCTTTTCTATATATCTTCCTTTCTTTCTAAGCTCCTCTTTTTGCTTCTCACACTACCTGGGCTAATCTATAAATGGAGAAAGAAAAAGAAAAGGCGGCGACCAAGAGCCACAAAACAAAACTCAAAAGAACCTATTAGGGTTTATTTCCACCGGCCATCAGGCTAGCTGCCTTCTGTGGATCTGTTCTAGCTAGGGGTGTCAATTTCCAACACGACAACACGATTTACAAAGACAACCCGACACGACACGATACGATTGACACGATTTGAATTTTTATTATATTTTTACTCCAAAAAATCTTATGAACCCAGTGGAATAGGTAACACGAAATTGACCCGATAACTCGAATTGACACCTCTAGTTCTAGCTAGCGAAAGGAGGATATTGCCTAATGCAAATCGGAAGCAAACTTAGAGGATGTTGTCACCTAAACATCCGTCTATTAAGTACGTACAATGACTCTTCCCGCTGACGTGTGAGTTTGACCAACATTTTTGTAGATTCGACCGTGCTGGTGAAAGGAGGGCATTCCTTTTGACAATGCCTAGTCAAGCTGGTAAATAAGCGGATTTGGATTACTTGAAATTGGTTTTTAATGATTATTAGTTTAATGGATAAATATCTATCTATATCTATTAAATTTAATGGACTTAAATGTATGGGTATAAAATACCCATGGGTATCCATAAATATCCATGAATACATACCCATGGATATCCATAAATACATTTAGTGAACTTTTTAATAAATACATAAGTTACCAATGTAATAAATATGAGCCCAACTAAATAAAATGAAATAATAAATTAATTCTTGCACACCAATATAAAATTATGAGTCCAATAAGTTAGAAAATACAAATGTATATTTTATTTGAACAAAAATTCAAATATGACCCAGATATTGGCGAAACACAAATCTTATTATTCTCCTATATTAAAATTCATGTTTGTATTTTATTTAACAAAAAAAATCAAAATTAGACCCATGTATCGTGGCCCGATTATTGGCTCGACCCAACTCGACCCAGTTAACTATTTCTTGAAACGTGAAAATCTGAAGTTCAATGAGTTTGAAAATATGAGTGTAAGTTTTATTTGAACCCAAAAATAATAATAATAATAAAAAATTCGCCCGCTTATCATGCTCCGGTTAATGGGTTGACCCAACTCGATTCATAGATCGGTCCAGTTTGATCCATTCGTTGACCCGGTAAAACGTGATAGAAAACATAAAAATTATTAGTCTCTTAAGTTAAAATTCATGATTGTACTTTATTTTTTTAAAAAAAATCCAAATACGATATATGCACAGTGGTCTGGTTATGGGGCCGACCCAATACGACCCGTGGATCGACCCAATTTAATATGGCTCAAAACGTGAAAGTTCAATTTTAATGAGTGAGAAAATACAAAGTGTAAATGTTTCTTTGAACAAAAAATAAAAAATCGACCCTCGTATTGAGACCCGATTGCTGAATGGACCCAACTCGATTCATGGGTCGACCGATAAAACTTAGTAGAAAATGTAATTATTAGTCTCCAAAGTTAAAATTCATAATTGTACTTTATTTTTTTAAAAATCAAAATTCAATACATGTACCGTGGTTCGGTTATTGGGTCAATCCGACATGACTCATGGATCGACCCAGTTTAATATGGATCAAAACGTGAAAGTTGAAGTTAAATGAGTTAGAAAATACAAGTGTAAAATTTATTTGAACAAAACATAAAAAGTCGACCCGTGTATCATGACCTGGTTACTGGGTTGACCCACCTCGATGCATGGGCTGACCCAATTATACTTATCGTAAAGGTAAAAATTTAAAGTCCATTAAGCTATAAAATATACCAATATTAAAAAGTAATTTTATGTATGGGTCAATCCGCGGGTAAAAATTTTATAGTAAACCAGTTGACTCATAACCCGCTCCAACTCGTCATGACCCAACCCGTATATGATCCTTCCTTAAATGGGTTGGGTCGGGTCATGACTTACTTAAATAATGATTGTATAGTTTGAAAATCCAATAGACTATCCAATTGGTAACCGTGGATTATCCACACCCGTTTAAATAACTTTTTGTCCATATCCATCCAAGCCTAATATTTTAAATAGATGGACATTTATGGACTAAAGTCCAATAGATTTGGATGGGTAGTAAATCCGTAGGTATTCTCTGCCTAGTGCTCCTCGGTAACATACTTGGAGGGAAGTCGCATAAACACTGCAAGTTTGCCTAGGTTCGGCACTGGAGAAACTATGACGACACTTACTCGTACATAATGCATTCGCTCGGGAGATTGGCACATCTCCGTCTCTAGTGAGACTGAATGGAACGACAAATATAATTAACTTATCATAATTTCTACTTACACTCTTCATCATCGTCACTGTCATCAATCACCATTGTTTAACGCAATCAATGGCATCTTTCGGAGTCAGGAAGGATGACATGTAAAAGTACAAAACTGGTGAACTGAATTTGGATCAAACGCAAAAGCTCATTTTGAGTTCACAGTTCAGTTGGGATTCTCACTTTTTTGAGGCATAATCACATGAACTTTCAAAATGAGACCTTTTGAAATCGGGCTTCCTTGCTTGGTGAGTCTATTAGTGAACAACTTTCTTTTTCGGAAATGTCTTCTACTCTTCCCATTTTGTCGATGTTTTTCATTTGTGCAAGAAATGGTCAACAAAAAAACCCACATACTCGATGTAACAATTTATGAATAACTAACCAAATAATTAGAACCAACTTCTTCAATGAGTTGCGAAGGATTTCCTGTGATTGAGAATTCAATTTCATTTGTATCAGTCCCTACCACCCCCCCCCTCCCCCCCCAAAAAAAGATGCAAACTATTTTTTTTAACATAAACAAAGAGGGGGAGGGGGGGTAGATTACATATAGTTTTTAGATCTTGTTTCATATGACATGGTGCTGACCGCAAATAACAGTGACTAAAAATAGTAGAATGTCAAAATGCGAGGCAGGCTTGACTTTTTTATTCATTAATTATAGAAAAAAGTAATTCTATTAATACTAATGAATCTTTAATATGTAGATTATAATGAATATTATTGGGCTGCTGCTAATCTGATATCCATTTCGGTATAACAAAATAGTAGTAGAGTCTATATAAATTAAAAGCTCGTAGTCTTTTTGGAAATCAAAATAGGCAAAGAAAAAAAAAAAACGAAAACAAAAAATAGATTCTCCTTGTTTTCCATGACCAACATTGATTAAGCCAAGCCAAAACAATGCGGATCATCATCAAGTAGTTTTCGGGTAAAAAGATTCCACTAGACGACATTTTAGCATTAAACTCCACGTCACAAAATCAACGAAAAGAAAGAATCTTCCCCAAAAAACGGGAGAAAAAATATTAAGTGCTGCCATTGGATCGGGGTAAAATATACACTGCAGCCACTACACATGTCAGATTATGCAACCACTCACAATTTTACGGGTGTTAATTTGACGGGAGAAACATATATAGGAGATTAAGATGACCAATATCTCATCTTGCAACATACATTTTTCAGTTGTTGTATCCTAATTTTTAGTATAATAAGTATTAGCATCTCCTCTTTTGCTCTTATAATTTCAGTAGAAATTATCTCTTTCCACCTAAAATACTATTTATGTGTCTCGCTATACAATCCTACGTGGTACAACAACTGCACTCAATAATTTCCTTGCACTCGATGCATTAAAAAAGCATATACCTACAAAATATTTTTCACACTGGGTATAAAAACTATTTTGAGCATACTATGACTCTTCCCTTTGAATGTATCTTAGTCAACATGATGTAACTGACTGCGGTGAATATTTTTACTCAGCATATCACCAAAATTCAGTATAGTGTTGTAACAAAAAAGATTCAGTACAGCCAACCAAAAAAACCAAAAGCAACCAAACAATACCATAAAAAAGCACTACAATTTCAGAGTCTCCTTTATAGTACTACTACAAGTGTGACACTCCCAAACAAACTGTTGTTCCACAACAGGAGAGTAGTGGAATTAGATTAAAATTCCAACTCTGCATTTCTACAAATCCGCAATCACAACAGTTGGTTTGGTTCAGGTTTTTCTCCTCCATCATCATTCATCACAGTCACCAATCACCATTGTAAAACACAGTAATGGTCTCTTTGGAAATAGGCAAGGATGCCGGGATCGACCCGGATGAAATTTCCCCAATTGAAGAAGTCCGTTTAACGGTGCCCACCACCGATGATCCTTCGCTTCCGGTCTGGACTTTCAGGATGTGGTTTCTCGGGCTGTTATCTTGTGCCCTCTTGTCATTTCTCAATACCTTTTTCGGGTACCGGGCTGAACCCCTGAGCGTGACCGCCATTACAGCTCAGGTTGCTACCTTGCCACTGGGTCGTTTCCTGGCTAAAATTCTGCCCAAAAACAAGTTTCGGATTCTGGGTTTTGGAGACCGGCAGTTTTCCCTGAACCCCGGTCCGTTTAACATCAAAGAACATGCGTTGATCTCCATTTTTGCTAATAGTGGTTTTGCTTTCGGTTCCGGCACTCCTTATGCTATTGGGATCGTGAACATTGTCAAAGCTCTTTACCGTCGAAAGATTTCCTTCTTGGCCAGTTGGATTCTTGTTATCACAACCCAGGTTTTTTTTATTTTCCTTCCTTCCTGTTTCTTCAGGGCTTTTAGTTTTCCTTCAGTGAATGTTTCAGTCTTAATCATCATTATGATTACTTTTAGTTGGTCTGATGAGGAGTCTTTTTGAACAGGTAATCGGTTATGGTTTCGCTGGGGTGATAAGGAAGTATGTTGTGGAGCCTGCAGAGATGTGGTGGCCTTCCAGTCTTGTTCAAGTCTCTCTGTTGGGGTAATTTATTTTATTTTATTTCTTCTGCTTGCTGTAGTTAAACTCATCATAATTGCATCTATCATTGATAATGATCATGTTACACATACGGATAGCTTAGGTATAACCTAGTTTGTAAGTGACATTAGTATTGCTTGTAAAAAGAGGGGGAAAAAAGGAGTTCAAGCAAGAAATGATTCCGTGGATTGACTTAAATACAGTACCTTGGCTTTCTCGACTGCAAACTCAGGATTTTTCTTGCTTTTTTTATGTCAGAGTAGATGAGACTCGTGCTACTGCATATTGATACTCTGTAGTTTTTACTCAGATTTTTAATGCATTTTTGTGTCTGGTTGAATTGAAAATCACTCTAACCTCTAATCTTCCTGTTAGTTATTGGAATTTTGATTAAAGAGAGGCAATTGTTAACAAGATTTGAAGAACTGATGGAAAGAAATCATTTACCTCATTATTATTTCTTTTCCTCATTGCAGGGCACTACATGAGAAAGATAAGAGTCGCATGTCAAGGGCGAAATTCTTCCTGATCGTATTAGTCTGCAGCTTCTCTTTGTACACCCTCCCTGGCTACCTCCTCAAAATAGCATCCACCTTCGCGGTGCTGTGTTTGATATATCCTCGTTCTGTAACACTTCAGCAAATAGGTTCAGGATTGGGAGGTCTTGGACTAGGGGCCTTCACCATAGACTGGACAGTTGTGGCTTCGTTCCTGGGAAGTCCCCTTATAACTCCATTTTTCGCTATTGTCAATGTTTGTGTGGGCTATGTGGCAGTGATGTATGTGGTGATACCTGTATGCTACTGGGTTTTTAACTTGTATGATGCCAAAACATTTCCCTTCTTCTCCTCGCACTCATTCAACGTGCAAGGGGGACCATACAATGTATCAGCTGTAGTGAACCAAGGGTTTAAATTAGACGTTCCAATGTATGAGAAACTTGGACCATTGCGCATGTCCATGTTCTTCGCTATTTCTTATGCCCTTAGCTTTGCTGGTGTTGTTGCTACACTCACTCATGTGGCTTGTTTCAATGGGAAGTAAGTTTACTATAACATGTTTGTCATTGAAATTTATTGTTGTTTTGTGTATATTTTGTGCTTAGTTTAGGAAACCGATTGAGCAGGGAGATTATTGCCAAATTTAAAGCTTCAAACAAAGGAAAGGTGGACATTCACACAAAGCTTATGAAGCAGTACAAGGACATCCCAAACTGGTGGTTCCATGGTGCCCTTGCGCTCTCAGTGGCTCTTGGTCTTGTGCTCTGCATATTCATGAATGATCAGGTTCAATTGCCATGGTGGGCACTACTGCTGTCAGCATTGCTTGGTTATGTTTTTACACTCCCAATAAGCATCATCACGGCCACCACAAATACGGTAATTCAACTACTAATTGGCTGTTCAGTGATTTTTTCATTGTTCAGTAGTTTTACGGGTTTTCCTTCCAATCAATCCCCTCTCCCCTGTTTATATTCTCTTTCTTTTAAAAGATTTATCTACATTTTGTTTGCAGACACCTGGGCTAAATGTTATAACCGAATATGTGTTCGGTTTACTGTATCCAGAAAGGCCTGTAGCCAATGTCTGCTTTAAGACTTATGGATATATGAGTATGAGCCAAGCTATTTCTTTCCTACAAGATTTTAAGCTAGGTCATTACATGAAGATTCCGCCAAGAGACATGTTCTTGGTGCAGGTAGCTTATCTTTGATTTGTTGTGTGATCATTTGAGTTTTCTCTTCTCTAGCTTTCTTACTGTTTATTGTTGTCCATCAAAACAAATTTAATTCCACCATGGAAACTACTTTCCTTCTTTTTGATAAGAATGGGTTCTATTGTGAAATACACATGCAATTGTCCAATTCTAGTCTTCATAAAAACCTTTTTTCTGGTGCATAAAAGGAAATTTTTTTAATGTACTTTCTCAATTTAAGTGAAGAATAACTATTTGCCACTCTGAAGTAAACTTGTTATCCACACACTAACAGTGATAGGTAAATTTCAGCAAAGACATCTACCTTCACTTACTTTTCCTGTTAATTTTGTTCGAATGAATTAGTTTCTTGGAACCATGATTGCCGGGACAATCAATACTGCCGTGGCCTGGTACTTGTTGACAAGCATTCCGAACATATGCAACACGACACTTCTTCCTGCTGATAGTCCTTGGACCTGTCCGGGCGATAATGTGTTCTATACTGCATCGATTATCTGGGGGTTAGTAGGACCATACCGAATGTTTGGGCCACAAGGATTTTACCGCGCCCTCAACTGGAGCTTTATAATAGGTGCGGCAGCTCCTATTTTGGTGTGGCTGCTATACAGAATGTTCCCCAAACAGAAGTGGATCAAGCTCATAAACTTTCCAGTACTTCTTGGTGCAACAGCGATGATGCCTCCGGCTTCTTCTCTCAACTACAACAGCTGGATTATTGTGGGAACTATCTTCAACTACTTCTTCTTCCAATACAGGAAGAAATGGTGGCAGAAGTACAACTATGTGCTATCAGCCGGAATGGATGCTGGCACCGCTTTCATGGGTGTGCTTTTGTATTTCTGTCTAAATTTTGGAACCATACAAATTGATTGGTGGGGAGCGGGTGATCACTGCGACATTGTTGATTGCCCAACAGCCAAAGGTGTTGTTATTCCTGACTGTCCAGTAGTGCAATAGTTAGTTTTCCTTGACAAAAGGATTAGTATTCTTTCAGTATGGTTAGTTTCAGTTTGTTTCTAGACTCTGGAAAATGTAGGACTTCACTTATGGTTGATGAACTTCATTCTTTAATTCATTGAGTAGATTCATCACATATCTATATCAGCTCAGATCTGTATACATGTCGTATGTCACTTCTCCATGTCGTCTGTGGCTGGAAAACAAGCGGCATCCTATCATGATATATGCATGTTGTCGAAGTTTGAAGGTGTTTTACAGTCTCACTCGTGATGGTTTCTGGCCGTGCAAAAAACCTCAGTTGAGCACTACTAATAATTCCTTGATTTATGTGCTCAGTATCCAAATTTACGAATTTTGATTTATGTGCTCAGTATCCAAATTTACGAAGCATTTGATGAGTATATATGCCTTCAAATGAGCTCGAAAGATTCCTACGCGCAAAATTGAGGTATTTTGATGCAACGTGCTTAGTTTTGCAATTACAGTGCCATATCATATGCTGCAGAAGCTAGCATTAAAAAAATCAACCTTTCTTGTCTGCAGAAAATCGCAGAGTTAGAACAAACATACGATACAATCCTTGAGTGAAAACAATGAAAATCGAGAAACGTTATTTTACTTTAAATTAAACGGAGGTTACAGTAGTATTTGTAGTGCCTGTGCACTCTTACAAGAAGTTGTACTTGCAGTAATCAGTTCAATGCAATCTAATTGGGAAACCTGTAGTAAAAGGCTACTTCGTCGATGATGAATGCTGTGCTGCATATCGAGATGAAAAATTGACAACTATAGATTGTTCATCATCAATAAAGTCGACCCATTCGTCAAAATTCTGAGCATAACTCGAAGGGCTGTAGCCAAGTAACCTAAAATAATACTGCACTACTGCTGATACTTGTAGAAATTATTAGCCCGTCCTCGCGTACTAACATTAGAGATTGGTTCAACTTCTACCTCTCAAATAAATCACATGAAATCGTCCACATCCAAACTAAGAAAGTAAAGAGAACGAATTTATTCCAGATTTGAAGGTGAGAGCCTTATACTAAAACAACTAAAATAGGCATCAGGCTCTAGCACTAACCCTGCATATTAATAACCGAGTTCCTTATTTTGTTTTGATATTCAAAAAACTTTGTTGATCAGGTTTTACGTCTACAACGTATATATGGCGTCGGACGCGCAGCAATGAAAATCTAAAGCTCTTATATAGACCAAATTTAATGGCGCAAGGGGCACAAACAAGATGCATAATAAACTTCAAAAGCAAACCAAAGATGAAATAATGATTTTTTTTAATAGATTAGGTTTGAATGAATCACGAATGTAGTCGTGATTAGACATTTTGTTCATGTATCTCTAACTAAGATTTTTTAAATTTAAATATATCCTCTTTCTAATTTTATATTATGCGCGATGAAATTTCAACAAAATTGAGAAAATAAACGCGTTATAGAATTTATAGGATATAACACCAGTAATTATTGTTATATTTTGAAATCATATTTCATTATCATATCATAGAGCATTTACCTTTTTTTTCCCTGAGTAATTAATTATCATATCATAATACATTTATTTAGGGATTTATTCGAGATCACGATGTCATTTCATGTTTTAAATATGAATTTTAAAATTTCAAACGAATTTATTTTATCATGAAACGTTAATCCAATGCATTAATTTAATCTATTTCACGGAATAGTTGATTAGGATTTTCAGTGTACAATTTATTGGGGTTTCTAGTACGTAGAAATCATCTTTGATTTCTGCATCCGGTTTCCTACATTTTTTAAAAACTAGAACTAGTGATTTTGAGTACTTTTGAGTGTAAAAATTGAGTACAGGCCATCTGGGCATGTCAAATATTCAGTGAGTATATGTTGTTGATGGATTAGAATGCATATTTGGTTTTTTCATTTATTTTCCTCATCATGATTTTTCCTTATTATTATACTGCTATGTAATTATGGTTAGCGGGACTCTGGGATAATAATATTCCTCTTAACCTAGACCACATACATATACGTGAACAAATTATTTGAGCTGCTGCTGCGAATGAAAGGAATACAGACTCAGACATTATCTCTTATTCATTTCGGATATTTTTAATCACTTATATTATTTGGCAGCTAATAAATACAGAGCATTTATGTTATATTCAAGATTTATTCAATTACTATAGTACATTCAATCAATCAAAATGACATAAGTTTTTATTTATTTACATTTATCACACATGCTTAATTAATTTCTTGCTCTTTTTTCATCTCCGCAAGACCATGTTCCTCTCCAACTTTATTCCATTCCACTTCACGCCTGGGATGTAAAATTTTTTTACAAGAAAGTAGAATTTGATGAACTTGTAACTCATTTTTTTAACACATTTCTGAAAACTGAGCATATAGATTTTCCCCCATCATCAAATCACCGTTGTGTTAATTAAACGCAGTGATGGCATCTTTGGAAACAGGCAAGGATGCCGGAATCGAACCGGATGGTGCCCACCACCGATGATCCTTCACCTCCGGTCTGGACTTTCAGGATGTGGTTTCTCGGGCTGTTATCTTGTGTCCTCTTGTCATTTCTCAATACCTTTTTCGGGTACAGAGCAGAACCCCTGACCGTGACCGCCATTACTGCTCAAGTTGCTACCTTGCCACTGGGTAGTTTCCTGGCTACAATTCTGCCGAAGAACAAGTTTCGGATTCCGGGTTTTGGTGCCAGGGAGTTTTCCCTGAACCCGGGTCCCTTTAACATCAAAGAGCATACATTGATCTCCATTTTTGCTAATAGTGGTTTTGCTTTCGGTTCTGGCACTCCTTATGCCATTGGCATTGTGTTTATTGTCAAAGCTCTTTATCGGAGGAAGATTTCGTTATTACAACCCAGGTTTTCCTTTCCCCTTTCTTCTTCAGGGCTTTTAGAATTGTCCTGTTTCATGCACTCTTAATCTTCATCATTACTTTCACGCCGTCAATTATGCTGATGAGGAGAGTCTTTTTGAACAGGTAATCGGTTATGGTTTTGCTGGGTTGATAAGAAAATATGTTGTGGAGCCAGCGGAGATGTGGTGGCCATCCAGTCTCGTTCAAGTCTCTCTGTTGGGGTAATTTTTTTTTTCTTCTTCTGCTTTGTGTAATGAATCGTATCATAATTGCATCTATCATTGATGAATGTGGATGAACTTAGTGAATCTTAGTTAGAAACTGAGGGTACTGAGTTAGCTTGTAAAAAGAGAGGAAGAAAAAGAGGAATTACCAAGATGGGAATAACTGATGAAAAAGAAATCACTTTTTAACTCTTTTTGTTTTTGTTCTTTTTCCAGAGCATTTCACCAGAATGATAAGAGTCGCATGTCAAGGGCGAAATTCTTCCTGATTGTGTTAGTCTGCAGTTTCTCGTTGTACACAATCCCTGGCTACCTCCTCAAAATAGCATCCACCTTCTCGGTACTGTGTTTGATATACCCTCATTCGGTAACACTTCAGCAAATAGGTTCAGGATTGGGAGGTCTTGGATTAGGAGCCTTCACCATAGACTGGACAGTTGTGGCCTCATTCCTTGGAAGTCCCCTTATAACTCCATTTTTCGCTATCGTCAATGTTTGTGTTGGATATGTGGCGATAAGGTATGTGGTTATACCTATATACTATTGGGGCTTGAACTTGTATGATGCCAAGACATTTCCCTTCTCCTCGCACTCATTTGACGTGCGCGGGGTAGAGTACAATGTATCAGCTGTAGTGAACCAAGGGTTTAAATTAGACGTTCCAATGTATGAGAAACTTGGACCCTTGCGCATGTCCATGTTCTTCGCTTGCTTATGGCCTTAGTTTTGCTGGTGTGGTTGCAACACTCACTCATGTGGCTTGTTTCAATGGAAAGTAAGTTTACAAAGCAATTATTGCATGTACGTCATTGAATTTTATTGTTGTTTGTGTATTATGTGCTTAGTTTAGGAACTAAACACTAAACAATGATGATCCATGTGGTTAATGAAATGGATTGAGCAGGGAGATTATTGCAAAATATAATAAAGCTAGAAGCAAAGGAAAGGTGGACATTCACACAAAGCTAATGAAGCAGTACAAGGACATCCCAAACTGGTGGTTCCATGGTGCGCTTGCGCTTTCCGTGGCACTTGGTCCTGTGCTCTGCATATTCATGAATGATCAGGTTCAACTGCCGTGGTGGGCACTTCTACTTTCAGTGTTGCTTGGTTATATTTTTACACTCCAATAAGCATCATTACGGCCACCACAAATACGGTAATGCACCTATCAATTGGCCATTCGGTGATTGTTCTGTACTTTTATGGTATTTCCTTCCAGGGAATCCCTTGTTTCCTGTTTGTTCCTTCTTTTTATCGATGGCTCTTTGCTTGCAGACACCAGGACTAAATGTCATAACCGAATATGTTTTCGGTTTACTCTACCCAGGAAGGCCTGTAGCCAATGTCTGCTTTAAGACCTATGGCTATATGAGCATGAGTCAAGCTATTTCTTTCCTACAAGATTTTAAGCTAGGCCACTACATGAAGATTCCGCCAAGGGACATGTTCTTGGTTCAGGTAAATTTTCTTCGATATACCGTCTGTTTAGTTACTTTTCTTCTATAGCTCTGTTTGTTTATTCTTATGCATCATAGTATGTCTGAAACAAGGTTTAGTCTATCATAAAAACTATACTTTGTTTTTTTTATTGGAATGGCTTCTGTTTTTATATTGAAATATGAGTGTTGAATTCTAATCTTCAAAATTACATTTTTGTGGTGCACAAAAAGAATCCTTGTTTATGGGGGATAACTTATCTGAAGACTCTCAAGTCTTATATTAAATAAGACTGTCATTTTCTCTCAAGTAGTGCAAGTAATTTTTGCAAGACAGAATCTATCTTCTTCACTTACTTTTCCTGTTAATTTTGTTTGCGAAACTTAGTTTCTTGTAACCATCTTTGCCGGGACAATCAATACTGCCGTGGCCTGGTACTTGTTGACAAGCATCCCGAACATATGCAACCCATCACTTCTTCCTGAGGGTAGTCCTTGTACCCCATTCCAGGCGATAATGTGTTCTATACTGCATCCGTTATCTGGGGGTTAGTAGGACCAAACCGGATGTTTGGGCCAAAGGGATTTTATTGCGCCCTCAACTGGGGTTTTGTTATAGGTGCAGCAGCGCCTGTGTTGGTGTGGTTGCTATACAGAATGTTCCCCAAACAGAAGTGGATCAAGCTCATAAACTTTCCGGTACTTCTTGGTGCAACATCGATGATGCCCCCGGCTTCTTTTCTCAACTACAATAGCTGGATTATTGTGCGAACCATCTTCAACTACTTCTTCTTCCAATACAGGAAGAAATGGTGGCAAAAGTACAACTATGTCCTATCAGCCGGAATGGATGCTGGCACCGCTTTCATGGGTGTGCTTTTGTATTTCTGTCTAAATTTTGGAATCATACAAATTGATTGGTGGGGAGCTAGTGATCACTGTGACATTGCGAGTTGCCCAATAGCCAAAGATGTTATTCTTCCTGACTGTCCAGTAGTTTAATATTTTGTTTTCATTGACCAATAAAACACCCTTTCAGTATATGGTTATTTCAGTTTGCCGTAAGACATTGGAAAAATGTAGAACTGCTCTTTGGTAAATGAACTTCGTTCTTTGTATATATGGCATATGCATGTTGCGGAATTGTGAAGCTGTTTGAAAGTTTCATTCCTGGTGGTTTTCTGGCAATGCAAAAAAAAATTCTCAGTTGAGCAAGTTCTAACACATTTCTTGTCGGTTGCGCTTTATTGAACCCTGAATATGCAGAGTCCTGATTTAGGTGGTTAGTATCCAAATTTACCGAGCGATGGTTAGTATGCCTTCAAGGCTTCAAATGAGCACGAAAGATAGAACTTTGAAGCAATATAGCGCAAAATTGAGGGATTTTGGTTCCAAATCCTGAGTTTTGAACCTACACTATCATATCATATGATCTGTCATCCAAATGAAAACTACAGTACCATTAAAAAAAAACAATCTTTCTTGTCTGCACAAAATTTGAAGGCCTTGCGCGCGCAGTTGATTTTTCTGCTTCGGAGTTATAACAAAAGGATAATACAAATATACAATGCTTGAGTAAAAATAATGAAAATCAAGAAACGTTATTTACTTCAAAAGGAGGCACAGTGGTATTTGTAGTGCCTGTTCATTGCAATCTAATTAGGAACCTGTAATAAAAAGGCTAGCTATTTGGTAGATGATGAATGTGGTGCTGCATATCGAGATGAAAAATCAACAAGTATGGATTGTTCATCATCAATATCTGCAACCCATTCGTCGAAATTCTGAGCATAACTTGAAGGGCTATACCTGAAACTAATAGCTGGTGGCTTGTGCCCTATGCAGCAGGTTTCACTAACTGATACACAATCACAACCTGAAATCATCATCATGTTTCCTGCACCATGCATTAAGCTGTTCCGATGATGATGATGATGATTTCGACGACTTTTTTTACTTCTTGTCCATGGAATCATCAGCTTCAGGCGTCCCCAACACGAATTCAGCCGACCCTTTTCTTCTCTTCTTATGTTATTCTCTGCCTCCTGAATTGAAGTTGAATATTTCTCCATTGCTTTTGAAGCTACTGAAGTGTACATTTACACAACTTGTGCACTTATTTGTAACATAATTGGAAAGTATATACTATATATGCTTGTCTTTGTCAAATCCTTCTTCCGTTTTCTGCAGACCCTTTTCTTGTTATGTGGTTGTAACAAAATGAAATATCGTAAAATTGTGTGGACACTATCTTCTTTTAATATGAGAAAATAACAAACCTAATGACAGATGAAAATGGATATTCCAGAATAAAATATGAGTCTAAATTGTAGTAAATCATCGTTTTAAATATCTATTTACGACAAGTGTTTGGAGGTTTAAGAGAATTTGAGGGATGAGGAGAACAAATGTATAGAGAAATTAGGCTATCTTTTTGTTGCAGAATTTCTTGTTAGGATTTTCCGCTAGGTAAAATCGTACTGATTACTGCATTTTGCATTCTATTTGAAATGAATATTTGAGAGTTATCTCCATTTTGATTACGAATCTTGAGAAATCCTTCAACTTAAACAGAATCGAACGAAATAAGGGAGCCATTGAATTTGTCAAGTGATTATGAATCTTCACTTACATCAAATACCCATGTAATTAGAGATCTGACCAAGGTTCGGTTTGAATGGGAATACTCCTCTGGTCCTTATTATAAGGCATTTTGATTTTTTCCTAGTTTTCACTTAATACATATTTTTAATTGTCAAAAAAACCTACTATATTTTTACCTTCGTTGTGTCCTCTTGATTGTTATGAAATATTTTTAAGGTTTTTTTTGTCAATTAAAAATGCATATTAGGTGAAATCTAGGAAAAATCAAAATGCCTTATAATAGGGATGAGAGGGAGTATTATTTTTCAAAATGTAAATGTAAATCCCTATGCAATAATGGGATTAATTAGTAATGCATGTCACTTGGTCTCATTAATAGAGTACTATAATATAAAATCAAATTAACTTTAAACTTTGTTTTAATGAATGGGACTTCTAACGTTAATCTAGTATCCAAAATGGGGGTGGGGTGTGTGGGGAATCTTGTTTGACTTTTCTTTTAATTTTTATTGTGGCACATCTTCATCACCAATTTCTCCACATTATCCACTTTAAAATGAAAATAAAATGGAAGATATTATCCCTATCTATGGTATATATCAAAGTTCATTTTATTAGTAAAAATCTTTGTCGGTCGTCATTTGACCAGATTTAGATGATTTCAATCGATACTTTATGGATATCTTGGGGAAAAAAAAGTTTAATCTTAAATAAAGTGAAATTATAACTAAATTATTATTTTAAAATGAAAATAGTTTTTTTTTTCTCTCGAAACAAAAAGTGAATGGATATATTGAGAAAAAAAAATTAATCTTAAATAAAATGAAATTAAAATTAAATTATTATTTTAGAAAGATTTTTTTTTTTTTTTGTCGAAACAAAAAGTGATGGTTCGATGAGGCCTATCCCCTGATAGAAGGCTACTTCTTTACGGATGTAAATGGAGACCTGAACCCCAGCAAAGCTGGAGTCCGCAAATCCTTTTCTGGATTTCAGTCCAGCTCCAGCGCAGCGGGCACTGGGCCCATTAATCTTAGGACTATGAAAGTCCAAGTGCAACCATGAAGGGAATGGACCTATTATCAGCCGTCCAGGACATAAGTACCATCACTTTATTACCCTCACTTGAGTTACAGGCCTACGTTACCAAGCCCGGTGATTAAGGTTGCCGAATTCCTCACTTATTATTAAGTTAACGAGTACCTCATTCTCCGATGTGGGATAAAATTATACAAAACAAACACAAAGGCAACTATTCACTAGGTTGAGGTTTGTGATTTCAGACCACCCTCGTAATCTCGGTGTAAGTTCATAGACGATTGAGTGAATATTGCAAAGAAAGACAAAGGAAATGTCCGATATTAAGTTAATTTTTAACCAAATTATATGAAGATGAAATGACAGTGTCACCAGTCAATGGAATGATGAATAAATTGGTCAAGTCAGCTATGTATATATTTCATGTCAAATAGTCAATCAAGAATCTATTCATTGATAGTATTTCCTATCTCATGGTATTTAATTCACAGAAACTTATAAGAGACTGTCGCTAAAGTCCCCACAAGAACACCTTCCATCAACAAATTTATGCAGCCTTTTACTATCTCTAATTATGATCGTCCTTCCGGTTGATAGTGACACAAATTTAACAAAATTATGGCAATCCTTACACATGCTAATGCTCTTGTTAATCCGCATTGGTGTTGCATTCGGCGTATTCAACAGACCAAATGCAAGTGCCAATTTTTCGCTGTGATGAACTGTGGAGAGAGCTGTTTCTTGATCTTCCGAATTTGTCACATCCAAACTGGCTTGCATTTCATATCCTTCAGAAATTACTTTCTCCTGCAGATCTCTCATCAACTCTTCAATATCGCTAATCGATTGGTGCTGATCATCTGGCTTAAATGAATATACCTTGTCCTTAATGGTTATCCAACTCAGGTCCGTTACTTTTCCTACTTTACCGGCCTTCATCATTTTTCGCACCCTAGAAACATCCTTCCATCTCTCAGCTGAGAGGTACATGTTTAACAACAAGAAACACGTCTCTGAATCAGTTGGATTTAGCTTCAGCAGTTGCTCAGCTGCGTAATAAGCTAACTCTAACTTTCCTTGACTCCTACATCCTGCAATCAGGATCGACCATATGACTTCTGTGGGCTCAAACTCCATTGTTTTAATGAAATCAAAAGCCTCTTCAAGCCTACCTAATCTAACAAACATGTCAATAAGGCATGCGTAGTGATCCATCACAGGCTTAATATTGTACTCATTTCTCATCATGTTGAAGTAAGCCAATGCTTCATCAACCATTCCGGCATGGCTGCAAGCAGCAAGAACGCCTACAAAAGTAATCTTGTTTGGCCTAACTCCAACGAACCTCATATCCTTAAAAAGCTGTAATGCACGTTGTGATTGTCCGTGACGTGCAAAAGCAGTGATCATTGATGTCCAGGATATCATAGTCCTGGTAGACATCTCAATAAAAGCTTTGCTGGCTTTATCTATGCTCCCACATTTACTGTACATGTCAACTAAAGCAGTTCCAACAACTACATCAGACAAAAACCCCGTTTTAATGGTTTGAGCATGAAACTGCTCTCCTTGTTCCAAAGCTGCCAAATTGCTGCAGACACTTAGAACACTTGAAAATGTATAAAAATCAGGTTTCGTACCAGATCGCTGCAATCTCGAGAACAAATCTAGTGCCTGAATTCCATTTTGTAGTGCTGAAAGACCATCTTCTGCATAATCCATCAATTGCGCATGACCAGCAATCATAGCGTTCCAAGTAACCAAGCTGATGTCTTCCATTCCATCAAACAGTAGCTTTGCCTTGCTTATGGATCCACTTTTGAAGTATAGATACATAACTGCATTCATGACAGGTAAATTGAAGCCATAGCCATATTTAAGGCAAAAAGAGTGAATCTGTGATCCAACTCCCACAGCTTGTATCATGCAGCAGATACTCAACACACTAGTTAATGTGAACTCATTTGGCTCCACACCCTCATTAAGCATCTCAACGAAAAGATTCAACCCCTTCACAGGGTCCCCGTGATCGCCACAAGCAGATATGACAGTTGTCCAGGAAATCACATTCTTTTCTTCAATGCATTCAAACGCCCTCATAACAGAATCCAAAGTACCATATTTAGAGTATATACAACAAAGGGCATTACCAATACTCGTATTATCAGCAATATGATACTTCAAAATGAACCCATGAACTTGTTTCCCCAACTCAATATCCGCCAACGAAGTACAAGCATTCAACACAATCCCTAACGTATAATGCGTAGGGTAACCCCCAACCCCCAGCATCTCCTGAAAAACTTCAATGGCAAGCTCCGGCTGCGAATTCTGAACATAACCCGACATCAATGACGTCCAAGAAACCACGTTTCTTCTAGGCAATGTATCGAAAACCTTCCTAGCATCGTCCATGTCCCCGCATTTCCCATAAACATTAACAAGAGATGTCATTAGGAACTTATCCTCTTGCCCGCCAGTTTTAAGAATATGAGCATGAATCATTTTTGCTTCAGAAACAGAATTCCTATCAATGCATTCTTGCAATAATGAAATATAAGCAGCCGAATCAAATTTCACATTCCCTTCTTTCACAAGGGCAATCGCCTCACTTAATTCCAAATTCAAGGGATCCAAACCTTTCTCCAACTGGGTATTGTTGCTATAATTTTTCTAACGAAGTGAAAAAAAAAAAAAAAAAAGGAAAAGAATCAAGAGCCCATTAAAGATAACCAAGTCATTAACTCACTAACATAAACAACAAACACAAATCATTACTATAAACTGTTCTGACGTCTTACCTTATCAAATGAAATTGAAGGTGGGTTTTGACGTTTCAACTCAGGGTCGAGTCTGAATGTGTTGCCAACTACGGTTGAAGGCAGAGAGGCCATGGAACTGGACCTCGAATTGGGTGAAACTGGAAATAGTTGCCCAGATTGAATGCTTTTACTCCTTTCTCTATGAATCTTTTTTCCAGCTCAAACCCATAATTGCTCCTTTCAAAAATCAAAAACGTTATCTGTGTTTCCTGCCAAGATGGTGCGTTTGGATGGAAGTAAATTAACGGCCACCAATCTTGTTTTCAAGAAAGGAGAGAGAGATTCAGAGGATAGAAATGAAACACAAGCAGATTGCCAAGTCATCATCTTGGCCCCGCCAATATGGAAGCTGATGTGGTGAAAAAGGGCGTCCAAGAAAATACTTTGTAAAAGTCCTTTGTTCTTGTATTCTAATTAAGAAATTGGAGGGAATGACTTTTATTTAGTTAATGGAGGGAATGATTTAATAGTCACATCCTACTGCAAGTTAGCAACTTAAGTTAGCTTTAATTTTAATTTGTGTAGGCTTGAGGGAATATGTTAACCCATCAATCATCCTTGTGGAGAATACTAGATAGCGAAGCGGTATCTATTTATATGAATTATATACTCTCTCCGTCTCAAAATTATTGTCCAGTTTAAGATTTCATTTTTTTAGTATAATTTGAACTAAAAATGAAAACTTAAACTGGACAATAATTTTGAGACGGAGGGAGTAATAATTAACTAAAGATTCAACAATGGAGCATGCAAAAGATGAACAGTGTGAAAAAATTTCTAAATGAGCTATTACAAAACTACAACATACTCAAATTATGAACTTTTACAAGATGTTTCGAAGAGTGTTTCACAGATAGCCCCAGTAGAAGGAGAAACGTAAAAATTTCTCCAAATGCTTGATCTTCAGAAAGAATCTTATGTTAATGCTTTCTTATGTAAATGACAAATGGCTTTCGTGTATTACATTCTGAGATGTGAAGAAACTTTTCCCTGCTACTTCAAGAGAATTATAAGATCTTACAATTTCATCATTTCTGATCCAAATAGTACAACATCCATATTTTACAAACCCGTCTCTTTGAAGAGCCTTCAATCCTTGTACTTCATTGTTTCTTTCTCAAAACCAACCGTGGGAAATTGTTTGGCGTACTCTTCAACCTCATGCCGTAATTTTGCAATTTCAGATTGGAAAGTCTCACCTTCCATGGTTTCCACAAAATCTTTCAACTTCGTACCTGAATTTCAAAATCCGAGGAAAACACTCTGTTTAAAACACTCAACAACTACCAATGCTGTAAATGATGCCAAGATAGCACAAACTACTCTGAACAATAAATAAACTGAAGAAACCTTTTGTCTCGGCCTTGATTTTGAGCGCTAGGTTGACAGCTGCATCAAAGAACTCAGCCACTTTGGCGAAATCTTCTTCGGCAAATCCTCTCGATGTAAGAGCCGGGGTTCCTATACCAAAATGAAGGACCAACCTAAATTATGCTTACATGGAAGTTCAAAGAAAAGAAACAAACTGGGAATGCTTACCCATCCGAATGCCCCCTGGAACCATGGCCGACACATCTCCTGGAACTGTATTTTTATTGGCCGCAATGTGCACTGATTCCAAGACTTTTTCAACCCTTGAACCATCAATGCCCTGTAAGGAGAACAATCATCAATTTTCATCATTATGAATAACGAAGATAATAAACATTTCCCGAGTTGATTACAAATGGATACAACCAAGTTAAAGCAACCATTAAGTAGAAAGATTCCCAATTAAGTTGAACAGAAATAGAAAAGCAATGTCATTACTAATTGACTTGACGTTTTCCTTCCAAAGAAAGTAAAACTACATATATCATATTCTTTTTGATTGGGAAAAAAATGCAAATATGAAATATCTATTCTGGACAGCTAATCTGAAGAGTGTCACCTTGTTCCGTAAATTGACTAAAACAAGATGGTTATCCGTTCCACCGGATACAAGTTCATATCCAATAGATAAAAGAGTCTGCAAAAGGCATCAAGAAATAAGTCAACATTAGCTCTAAGACTTAATTATTGAGATAAAGTGAACAGTAATTAAGTCTTCAAAACAAAAATTAGAAGCATGCCAACTCATTCTACCTCCGCAAACTTGGAGCAATTACTAAGAACCTGTTCTTGATATGCCTTGTACTCTGGTGTCATAACCTTCAAGAATAAATAATCGGAAACATAATAAGTTGAAATACAAGTAACACCAACATCAGTAATTTGAACAAAGAAAGCAGAAAGAAATATAAACAGAAGAATCCACCTGTTTCAACGCAACTGCTAATGCAGTTATTGTATGATTATGTGGACCACCTTGAAGTCCAGGGAACACAGCTTGATTAATTTTGTCTTCATAGTCATACATAACCTTTGAAAAACAAAGAAAAAAAAATACATTAGAAGGAGTATTACCTTGTTAATATCACCAAAAAGTACTTATCTTAAGCAGCAAAAAGCATTCTTCTTTCTTTCCACTTCCTACTTTTTTCCCCTTTTTTCAGTTAGGATAGATTAGGAAATGATAGCCCCATACAATAACAAGAACATGAAGCATAATGATAAAGAAAAAACACAGAAAAGAGGGAAGTTTCAGCTACTAGATTTTCAATAATATATTTCTGCAATTCCAGCTTTCTTTAATTTATTAAAAAGAATTGAGACAGGATGCAGGATCACATAGTCACGAACTAAAATAGATAAAAGATGAAGGAAAAGAAAAACTCACTTCTTTCCCTTGTTTGTTGACCTCTTTGACCCCCTTCCTGAAGAAGATCATAGCTCCACGTGGTCCACGGAGTGACTTGTGTGTAGTTGTGGTGACAACATCTGCATATTCAAATGGAGATGGGATGACACCAGCAGCAACCAGCCCACTAATGTGTGCCATGTCGGCTAACATGACAGCCTTTTGCTTGTTACATACCTATCATAATTATTACCTCACTAAGATTAGTAAATAAAACTCATCATACAGAAGTTTTGACCATGTATGGTGCATCACTACCACGACTGATACCTTTCGGATACGTTCATAATCATAAAGCCGAGCGTAAGCACTCGCACCAGCAACAATCAACTTTGGCCTAAATAGTGTTGCACTCTTCTCTAGCTGCAGCAGGAGCACTCCACAATTAGTTTATAATAACTATAAGGCTTGAGCAGTACCCAAACTTCAAGTTCTAAGGAATATTAATGAAATGGCATATCAATTGTCAAAATGATCACCACGCATAAAATCAGTACTTTACTAGGCTAGAGCAAGAGCTTAGAAAAGCTACCTGGTCATAGTCAATATAACCAGTGCTCTCATCCAATCTATATGGCATGGTCTCAAAGAAAATGGAGACTGCAGATATCTTTTTTGTATCTGTCTGCAAATCCAGTAGATAAAGAGTTATTTTGACGAGACCAATTCGCCATGAACAGAAACCAACCGGGAAATACTTAATGAAGCAGTGCTATACCTGATAACCGTGTGAAAGGTGTCCACCATGGGGAAGATCAAGTGCCATGATCCTTTCATGAGGTTTCAGCAAAGCGGTATAAACTTGAAAATTTGCAGGTGAGCCAGAGAGCGACTGCACATTAACTGTTAATGCAGAATTGTCAACATGAGAAACAAAGTAGCCAAGACAACAATTTTCTCTGGAAAACAAAAAGGCCAAAATATCCAGCCCTCACATAACTGAAGAAATTCGGATCAAATGATATATATGCACAAAGGAAACAAACTTCTTTACAAGCACAGAAAAATGAAAATAAAGTCTCAGCACAGTCGATGATGTATAGGCTGCTAGGAAAATGAATTTGCATAATCAATGATGAAAAGGCTGCTAGGAAAATGAATTTACATAATCAATGATGAAAAGAGTGCTAAAGTAACCGCAAATAAAAAGTTACAGGTAAAACAAGCAGTTTTAGATAGTAACTATTGAAATTTCATATAGCATAGCCAATGATTTGCTAGTCAAGTGAGGATAGTATCAAAATTTGGCAATGACTAATCAAAAAGTTCTCAAGTGAGCATTAACACATACAGGGATCCTTAGTGAAGTTACCTCCCCATTTTGCAGGATCCAAATTGAAAGCTTCCAAGGCACGCTTCTGGCACAATCTCTCTGCCATGTCGATGTACCTACATGACAAAAATAGCAATGTTAGAACTGGTACAGGCAAGATAGGCAGCGAGCTCAACAGAATGACAAAAACCCGAAACCAAGAGTTCAAAGTTTAGCAAACAGTTAGCAGGAATCAACTAGAGTAGATGAAACAGAAGCAGCCCACATACTCATTTCCTCCATAGTATCTAGCACCAGGATATCCCTCACTGTATTTGTTAGTCATTACGGATCCGACCGCTTGCATCACAGAAGTTGAAGTAAAGTTCTCTGAAGGTATCAGTTCCAGTCCCTATTTCAACAAACACCAACACCACAACTATTAATCCTTGATTACCTTCAGGAAACCGGGTTCAAAGCATATTAAGATCAACCAACTTATCTAACCAATATCTTGATGAGAAATTAAGGGAAATGAACATAAGATTATTGATTTAAAAACCAACCTTCCATTGCCTGGCCTTTTCAAGCTCAATGATGTCAGCAATTTCAGGATCAATTTCTTGAAGAGGCGCATTCAATTGTTTTATCCACTGCTTCAAAACATTCAATAAATAGGTATGGTTAACACAAGATTCAACAACCTCAATCTACATCCAGAAATCAAAACGAAACAGAGATACAAAAAGAAAAAAAAAAAAAAAAAAGAAGTTGGCTGGAAATATAATTTACAGAAATACGGGATTCCTCCCTTTGTCCCACAGCTTGATTCGCCAAGGAAGACTGCACAAATCCAAAAAAAAAAAAAAAAATTAATCAAACATCTATGATGCATCCTGAAACCAAGTTTTGCATGGAAACAATAAAAAGACAAAAAAAAAAAAAAGGGGAAAGAAAAAACTAAAAAGGAAGAAAAACAAAATTACCATGCGACATAATGAGGAGACATTAGAGAAGGGTTTAAAAGAGGATGAAAATGAGCAGATTCTTCGAAGCGCCATCGCCATTGCCATTGGTGATGGGGGTGAAAAACAGAGGCTTTTTGGTGAGGGAGCGGTCGGCGCCAGAGGCGAGGCGAAGGTTGGTGGGTTAAGTGGAGAGTCTTATTATAATCATTTTCGATGTTGGGTTATTTTTTAATTGATTAAATTAATTAAAGTGATACTGCAGATTGCAGAATCTTGCTAGTATTTTTATTATCCTTTCTATCAAACTTTTTTGTATTGGCTGATAAAATTACGATTATTTTTTCCTTCTAATTTTTAATACTACTATTGTAGGTATGGAAGAGAGAGTAATTAATTGCATATTATAAATGGTCTATCTCAAAATAAATAAATTCTTTTATTTATTATTTTTTTTGTGTCAAAATTATTGTCTTATTTGAATTTTTACTTTTAATACAATTGGAACTAAAGATAAAAATACAACTCAGATATGTACGAAAATAATTAAACAAAATCATTTAAGAAGATTACAATCAACTGTGCTTAGACGTCCATTTTTTTTATTCAAAGCTTTGATGTCATAAACTCATTACTCATACCAAACATCTTGAACTTTTTTTTTTTTGAATGAATTAGTGAGACACACGATCGGATAATTTTAATTACTCCCTCTGTCCCAAAATTATTGTTCAGTTTGAGATTTCACTTTTAGTACAATTTGAACTAAAAATGAAAACTCAAACTGGACAATAATTATGGGACGGATGGAGTATTTTTTATATTTGACCAAACTTACCAGCCTATTAACTTAACTTACTAAGAAATAATGAAGGGAATTCGTTTCAAGTTTCTCAGTTATCTTCCAAATTCTTCCCTGATTTTTTTTTATAAAAATTATAGATTAAAATTATGATCATGGAACAAAATGAGTACAAAAACTAAAACAAGATTTTATATAAAATGAAAATTAGAGCTACATCACTAGATGAGTATAAAAAGATGATAAATTTTTAAATTACAATATCAGTAATATTATACAAACAATATATAATGCAATTTCTATCATAAAGAAACAGAGGATGTACGAATAATTAATGTTGTTATTCTTTTGGGGGAAAAAAATATTGTTACTAAACATCAATATCTTATAGGAGTAAATCTTTTTGTATACATTTCTACAAAAACTCTTTCTAGAATGATGGACGAAAACATGGTAAAAATCTAAATCTGGGAAAATGCTAACTAACAAATCGGACTATTTGCACGTGGTTGTGGGCGATATAAAGACAGAGATCAAACATCCAGAGTTCGTGCCCGACGTCATAAAGCAAGTTGGTACATGACCCATATCCTTCACCAAACAGATTCCCCGGGCACCAAATGCCTCCTTATTCTGAATTTGGAATATAGGGTAGGGGTCGCCGGGCTCGAGCACAACCTCTATCGAGCCAGGCTCGACCAAAATTTCGCAGGCTCGAGCTCGAACTCGATCGAGCCAAAATATTTTAGCTCGAGCTCGACTCGACTTCTTTTTGAACAAGCTCGAGCTCGGCTCGAAAGGCTCGTTCTTTGTTAACCTCTCAAGCTTTTCATCAGAAAAAAACTTTCTAAAGTTCAAATAGGCTCCAATTTAACCTCAAAAATAAAAAAATAAAAAAAAAGATTCATACGATTCTCTCTGGATACATGAATGCCTCAGAAAAGGGACAAGAGAGAAAGATCATAAGCAAAATACTTATTACAAAAACTAAATACAACATCACTCCAGCAACAATCTCATACGCCGCTCTAAGAAAATAAAATCTGAAGAAGCAAGAACTACACTTTCATGTTTCATTTTCTGCCCACATACTCATAGTAATCTATTATTCCCACAGATCTAATCTCCATTTAAGAATCCCTTATTTCTTATTGGAAGGAGCATCTCAATTTTCCCAGATCTGAAGATTGCCGCCTCCACCTCTGCCTGATCAGGTGGTGAAACTCAAGTCCATACGTTTTTGACTGATTTTTTATGAAAAATATGGGGAAAAGAAAGGCTTTAGCATGGAAGGGTTTGAATTTTTCGATGGTGATAGTCCGAGAAGGCAAGGAAGAAGAGGGGGAGGCGTTGTAATTTGGAAGATGGAAGTAAATAGTTTGAGTTAATGGGATAAAGGGGAAGTAAACTAGTTTATATTTTTCAATACATGAAATATATATATATATATATATATATATTTATCGCAATTAGTTCGAGCCGCTCGACGAGCTACCGAGCGGTCATCTATCTGGCTCGATTAATTATTAAACTCGGTTCGAGTTCGACTCGAGCTCGGTTAACTTAGAGTTCGAGTCAAGTTTTAACCGAGCTGGTTCGCGAGTAGCTTACGAGCGGCTCAGTTCATTTACACCCCTAATCTAGGATGCTTTCTCCAAAAAAACATGTTCAGTTAGGAGAAGCCAGAACTTTTCTCTTTTTTTTTTTGTGGACATTTTCTAGGCAAATCGAATTCTGAAAATCTATTTTCTTAATATAATTAGTAAACCGGATTCCACAAATCCGACTTTAATTTTTCTATTAAAATAATATTTTCCTGTAATTTCAAAAGGATGGAAAATTAATAAATTATAAATCAGATTAGGAAAATCCGACTTATATTAAATATTTTTAAAAAAATAAAAATTAAATAGAATACAGGAAAAATCCAGCCGCTTATGCGCGGGAAATTTTTGAATAGTAGTCGGATTCTCAAAATCCGATTTATATTTAATATGGTAGGTTATAATAGGCAAAAACAATAAATACTAACGGATTGGCAAATTTCGACTTCATTTTTGAAGTCATATTTTTGAAATCCATCTTCTTTAAAGATGGATTCTTTGATTCCGTTCTTATACTTAATTCGGATTCTCAAAATCCGGTTTTTATTTATTATATAAGAATGGAAAACATGATTTACTATTCACAGAACGAAATTTTATTGAGTTCTTTGTGTAATTGAGTTCTTTGGGCGGCGATTTGGGAATCTTCTCCAAGGATTATCGGAAGTAAAGTCTTGAATCGTCATCAAAAGAAGGTTAGTGATGATTATTATGATTTTTGAATAGAATGAGTGATGTTTTATGTGATAGAACCATTGTTTATAGACTATGGAAATTTTGATTTCTTGCCATTTTTGTATACGAAATGTGATGTTTTATGAGAAATGTAATGGTTGATTTGAGAATGTATGGATATGCACGTGTGTTGAAGATGATGAATTTGAAACTTTGTGTATTTTTGAGATTTTAGTCTCTACAATGGTTAATATATTGTTGTGGATAAATAAGGATGTTGTGTAAAACCATTGTTGATTGGTTTGAGTTTAGGGTTTAATTAGGTGTTGTTTATTTACAATGCATTGTTGAATTGTAGGAGCTTAGGGTTTAGCGTGTTGTTTCTTTGTGTTTAGGGTTTAGGTTTATTCGGATAAAATTATTCATAATATTTGACAAATAATTGTTTGTTTAATCAACAGATGTAAATGGCGTTTAACGGCCTATACATTCTGAATGTATTTTGGAAAGTTTGTTATAGAGAATGGCGTTATTAATACTTTTAATATCTTGGCGGATGCATCTATGATGATTGAGGGTAGATTGTCTGACAATGAATTGGTTAGGAGGATTTGTGAAAGAGTTAGGTGGGACAGAGAGATAAAGAAATTGAACATGTCACTATTGTTTGATAGTACCGATAACGGGTCCAGGCGTTACGCTACAATCAAGGATGAACCATCATTAGAAGTCTTGTATTTTCTTTTTGGAAGTGCATGGTTGGATTTGTATGTGCATACAGAGGATTTACTCACTCTAAGAGGGCATGGAACCCGACAAGCAATACACATGATAGTGGTTAACGCCGAATTGGGACGTGTACTTCTCGGTCCAATGATGAAGCCTGTCGGGACTAGTCGAGATGGGTCGTTGTTTCAAAATCCGGCTAATGGGGATTGTATGGAAGACCACAGTGATCCGGGCTACGAGGACCCAGCTAATGAGGATTATATATATTACACTGGTTCGAATGATTCGGACTACACATTAGGGAGTGGTGAAAGCGAGGAAGGGCATTCAGTATCTTCAGAAAGTGATGATGGCAGTTATGAATCCGAGGAGTTTGAAGAAGAAGAATTAGTAACTTCTATACTAGAACAGCACATATATAGCGAAATCGGCAAATGGGATCCATCCAGTGTTGACAGAGATCAATTCAGCCTTCCTAAGTGGGATGAGACACCCGATTCCATAAAGTTAGACACTTCTATTATGAAACGATTAGTTTCTAATCCAACCAAATTCGGATTTCAGAAATCTATTTTGTGGTAAAGTCGGATTTGTGGAATCCGACATGCGTAGTCTTCTCATATTTACGAAATATTTTTTTGGCAAAAACTCTACGAATCTAGTTCTAAAAGCATTTCTTTTTGTACCTTCACATTTTTTTTTAAATTATATTATTTCAACTAATTTAAATTTGGGTAAAATAAGGTTTTTTTCTTTTTTTTTTCAATAGAATGTATTGGTGAAACTACCATATTCTATAAGTCTTTACTTTGATCTAATACTCCCTCTTATTCTTTATTATAAGACATTTTGATTTGTCTTATCATTCAATTTAAGAATTTTATTTTATTTTATTTACATATTTGCAGGTGTCCACCGTCGGCAACAGTGATTAATCCCCTTTACTGAATTGTAGACAAATCGATGGGTGAGACAGCTGGCCAAAAGAATTTTATTTTCAATTAAAAAAACGTACTAGATAAAATTTATAATAAATCAAAAGTAGATTCATCCACATTTAAGCGGTTACGCCTCTTTCTGGGCTCTCACAAGTTGTGCGCATATTTCTTGCCTCTTTAAATTGATTTTCTGCTTCTGGTGCTTCAACTCTTTGCATAATGAGGGGTGCATTTCTTCTCTATTTTCACAATCTTTCTGAATTCCCTGGGTATTTTTATTGTTTCTTTTTTCTTGGAAATCAAATATTTCATCATTAATTGCCAAATTACATAGTAAAAAATGCATGTTCTCGCCTAGTTCCATAATTTTCTTAAAATTATAGTTCTGAAAATATGTGATGCTACATTGCATCTATCCCTGTCTAATAGACATTGAAACTTCTTGAACTCATCTTAGACATGCTTTCGATTGCGAAGCATTAGTCGCACAAAACTTTTCTCTTTTAAACACGATCAGATTGCCTTGATTTGTTGAAATTTTCCCTTACTGCAACTCCCAATTTCGATTGCTCTTTCTTTAAATTCCCAATCCACTCTCATTACGAAACTCGTAGATTCCTCTGCTTCTTGTTGGTCACCAGTTTTCCACGAGTCAAAGGCACTTGAACTGTTTGTAAAGAAATTTCGATCCCGCAAAGCCATTTGCTGAACCTCAACTGGATGGCTCAGGTTTCCTTCCCAAATGGCCTCATTCCTAGCTAACCAGATAGCCCAAATCAGAAAAAGTGAGTGTTGAACCAAATCATTTGACGGTGCATTTAAGAGCCAATGATTCCAAAATTCTTGCAGACTATTAATTCTTGGAGAATTGGTGAAGTCAAAACCAAGAGACGAACAACGCCATATTCTTTGAGAGTGATCACAATCCAAGAAAATATGCTGAGTTGAATCCTCTTCTTTGCCACACCTTTGGCATGTTGTCAGAACATTAATGCCACTCTTTCTCAAAGCAGTCAGCGATGGGATCCCATTATTCAACATTCTCCGCGCCAACAATTGAATTCTTCTGGGAATCTCGATTGCCCAAAATCTCTTCCACGCCTCCTCTGATATTTGATCAGACTGATTACGAGATTGCACATCAAAATGATGACCGTTGGTCCAAGTAAATAATCCACGTCAGTACAAATCTCAAAATTCGATGTGAATTATTTTTTACGGATAGAGATAAGACAACAAAATTATTTATGCTTAGATTTCAAAACTTAAGAAGTAAGAACTTTATTCATTTTCCATTGTCAAAAAGCTACAAAAATTTCCTCGGAAAATGCATATGCTTAAAGTGATCATTTTTGTTACATATAGGTACCTATTTCAGTTCATGATAATTCTATAAAATTGAGAATTAACCTCTTTTTTTTTTCGTTCCAAAATGATTGTTCTGATATACCACTGCACAAGCAACATAATCATTCGCTCCCTCTCTTCTCTACAAGTACTTGGGTTCATATATAGATTCTACGTACCAATTCAGCAATACGCTGGGGCAAAAGTTCCTCATCATGTGCCCTCCTCGAGTTCATGAAATCCGTTTCTACTGCTTCATTCTGTAAGAGAAATAAAATAACATAAAAAAGAAAAATAACCAAATTAATTATGAAGAAGAAAGAAGGCGGATCACCTTAATTTGAAGAAACAACTCGAGCGTGCATGGTTTTGCTTCCATTTTCCTCCGGAATGTGTGTCACGAGAGCAACAAGATTGTGGAGTCGCTCGGCCTTCTTGGCTTCTTAATCTTTGGTTGTGTTGTCCAAAAACTTTCTAGAAACTGGATTCGGAACGTATTCAAGTTTAGTGTCAAATTAAGCACGAAGTGAATTTATAGGAAGATTAGACGAGGATGATGAAATCCAGGGAATGCAAAACGAATGAATTTTTAACTCATTCATTGTACAAACTCATCATGCCGTTTCAGCATCAGAAGTTAAAATGTACTAATAATGTTCGTGATATCCAAGGGGGACGTCTGCTCCCTGGATTTTGGTTATGTGTATCTATTATGGTGAATTTAGAGCGACATGACGAGTACTTCGATTTTGGTTATAGGATTTGTTTTACAAAATCAACTAGGTCTAGTTTAAAGACAATGAAGGATTGATCAAATTTATGAAAAATATATCATATAAATATTTCGAGAGGGATAGAAAGTAAGAATTGATTGGAAAGCATTTGGCTGTATTCTGTGAGTGACATAATAAGAAGTAAAATTTCACTTGATTGTAAAAGTAAAACTTAACTGGTTGCGCATATCTATATATTTTTCCTCTTTTTTTTTTGTGCGGACGGTGTACTAAGTGCATTGTGCTTATATTAATTCACGTCATGACATAATTACCATTTAGGAGGGACTATTTATTGTAACTCGGTAAATTTTTTAAGTTATAGTGGGTCTAAGGTTAAAGGTGCAACATAACTACCATTTAGGGTTTACTTTAGCGGTCAGAGTAAAAAAAAATGGTTTTGCCTTTTCTTTTTTTTTTTTTTAAGAAATTGAATTTTAAATTATTTACTGTAACTTTGTAAATTTTGTAAATTACAGCGGGCCTAAAGTTAAAAGTGCAACATAATTACTATTTACTGTGTACTTAAAGTAAATAATAAATGAAAAAAGTAATTTTGAAAATAATGATAAATTTTAAAATTGCATAATAATATTTTTAATTAATAAATAATATTTTAATAATTAAATAATGAAATTTAAATTTAAAATATTTTTAATGATTTAAATTTTAATAAAAATTTAAATTAATTTAAAAGATAAAAATACCCTTGATTTCGGCCTGTCAACGGCCAGAAACAGTGAAATGAGACCAAAAAAGTGCGAAAACATAATATTTGGGACGTAAATTCAAGTAGGCCCAAATGTAAGAGACCATTTGGACATTTTAGTCTATCATATATCATATATCATATATCATATAAATATTTCGGGAGGGATAGAAAGTAAGAATGATTGGAAAGCACTTGGCTGTATTTTGTGAGTGGCATAATAAGAAGTAAAATTTTACTTGATTGTAAAAGAAAAACTTAACTGGTTGTCTAGATCCATATATTTTTCCTTTTTCTTTTTCATATTTCGCACGGTGTACTAAGTGTATTGCAGTCAGACTAATCTGCAGCGAGTCGGGTCGGTCTAATGCATCATTTTTGACAAATATTTCCTCCATCCTATACAAAATAGTCCACAAGCCACATTAAAATTTGTGTGAATTGTACTACTGTTTTACGGATTTGTCCCCAGATTACAACTCTATAAAGCCCTTGTATCCAGATTGAGAATTTCCTTCAGCGAATGTCATATTTAATAGGCTCTCTGCTTCGATAGCGGAGGTACGAATTATAAAGTTTGAATTAGAGTAGAAAAGACCCGTGTATAATCTATCTTTTCAAGGTTCAGTTACAGGGCTAAAGCTGACTTGTCTCCAACCTGTTCGATGAATTGCCTCAAAGGAACACTTAAGAAGCGTCTGGCAGCGTTATACTCCCTCCAGTCTTCAGCTGCTCTCTTGCACTCATCACCAACTCAAAATGTGCTCAAAAGCGGACACGTTTTAAAGTATTCTCGCACATTCTCCGACTCAGATGTTGCGGAATATTCCAAGCTCAGCCTTGATTCGAACCCTTTGCATTTTGATCCTGATCGTGCCAAATTGTCTGGTTTTGCTGACAGATTAGTCCCGGGAATGCTTGTCGCAACCCTTTTCCCCAGAATCATCGCGTCTCATTTTGTAAGTCCATTGTTTCTGGTTACAATGTCTCTGCAACCTGATCCTTACATTTTGAATTTTAATTTAGCCCATCTTCTTCTAGCCTGGAGCCGTATACGCATCTCAGACGATGCAGTTTAAGTTACCGGTTTATGTTGGGGAAGAGATCGTTGGTGTTGTCGGAGCTACGAGCATTAAACAACTGAAGAACAAATATGTGTAAGTTGTTTGTTTGATCTGATCTTAAGCATTTGTCCAACTTTATATATGTAGTTTTACAAGTTGTTTTTTTTTTCCTTGATTGCAGTGCAAAATTTTCGACGAAATGCTTTAAAAACGGGGATACCCTGGTTATTGATGGCGAGGCCACAGCAGTTTTGCCTACTTTAGCTTTGGAGCAACCATGATCAAATCAAATTGCTCTCTCCCCCAAGCAGCCAATTATTTGTACTTTTTCAGGAACAAGTGTCCTTTTGACCTTTAGCATTTTGTATCTGTAACAAATAGTCAGAGGCTCTGCTTTTACCCCTTATAGAGCATCCGCATTCCAAGGGCCAATTACTGCCCAGTTGTTATTTTCCCCTTGCATAGAGTGTAAACTAATACACTGGTTGGCTTGTTAGCCGTAAAACGTCTGAAAATTATGGGCACGTTTTAAGGCAACCGAATGGGTAATGGGCAACATTGGGCACTGCGGGCCATGCTGTGCCAAATGTTTTACCCCCATGTTTGGTAACTGCTGTTGGAAAAAAATATTCCCTTCGTCCCATAATTATTATCCAATTTTAATAAAATGAAAGATTTTATTTTTAATCAAACTCAACTATATTTTACCTTAAATAACCAGATATATCCCTACATAAGTAATTGTTTAATCACTAAGATTTTATGGATAATATTTTTTACTAAGGATAAATGTGTAACTTGATCCATAAAAAGTTAAATTGGACAATAATTTTGGGACAAAATTTTTTGGGTAAAGTGTACAATAATTATGGGACGGAGGAGTACATTGTTACTTCATTCTGACAAGTAAAGCTTAGGTGGACTTAACGGAATCACAATTTACCTCAATGGTTGTGGTAATTAAAGCAGTCCCAAACCCACCACATCAGCATTTTATGTTCTACTCAACAACTCAACTATTTTCTCCAGTGATTTTTAACACAAACATAAAAACTCCACTAATTGGCCCCACTTTTCAGGGAAAGAGAAGTAGGCCCAAATGTCTATGCTAGTTAGTATCCACTGTAGTTGCTCTTAGATTGAATGGCTAGGCAGAGGGAAGAAATTGTTCATGATAGTGAAGTCAATCATACACACTTGGTTCAGAAGTCCTCTGCAAATAACTTTTTTTTTTTTAAAAAAAAAAGTTTAAATAGTCAATGAAAGGGACTACTATTATTTTGGTGGAGAACATTACTTATAATTGATACGTTTCTTAATGCAATAAAATTGCATGTTTTGCATCCTCCACGAGAATGGACGAGCCAAACCGCCTAAGGAAATTATAATCCTTGATTCTTGAACATCGTTTTGACGTTGGATCCCTGGTGGAGCCAAGGAGACCAACAAGGCGACAATGCCTATCATTTGTCAAGATTCAAGAAAGACCTCACATTTTAGAGTAAAATTAATAAGTTTCATTTTTTGAACTTTTTTGCCCCAACACAATGGATTTTTTTTCCCCTTCAATTTTTACCTTTACATTTTAAGAATGCTGATTCTTGTTAGTTGCAATCTCTAAGCAAGTTGTGAAGACCATCAACCGAAGAATAACATGCAAATATAAAGCAATTTCAATGGCTGCGTGATGTTATTGATAATAACTCATTATCACAAGTACCGTAATTATGTAGGGAATACAAATATCCTTAACATCATTTAACCAACAAAAAAAAGTTAATAATATCAGTAAATGTTTAAAAAGACGGTACAAAACACAAAGAATAATTTTCAAGTCTTCACCCTTTGTCAAACAATAATTTATTTTTATCGAGCTATAAATACAGTAAAAACATAATCGTTCCATTCTAAATAAATAACCTATTTCCGTTAAACAAAAACAATGTAACAGAGTGAATATTCTTTTGGAGAGGAGTCTGTTTTTGTTTGTTCGGATTTTGGATGGAGTAGTTATTTCTTTTTTGTAAATCAAGGGCGATTGTAACTTTCGGAAAGTACATGGGGGGCTTTTCATAATTAACACTATAAGTGCCTTTCCTTTTTCAAGTTTAGAGACAATCCTATAGGCTAGTCTAGTTATCATCGAATGAAAATAATGTCAAAAGAAAACAAAATGTAAAATGGTAAAAGAAAAAGCCCCATTCGGCAGTCACTCTGTCGACAGTTAGCATTCTCACTGGCACTGATGAAACCAGGGGTCAATTCTCAATTTCTGATTCTTAAACTTTCATAATTCCTCCACCATTAACAGACCTCCAAAACACACACACACACACACACACACGAAATAACAATTTAAACAAATTCAAAATACGCAATGCCCCTCACTTTTCATCATACCAAAAAAGTAGTATTAGCACTACTCCCACCTTCTTCTTTTTCTTTCTTTCCCCCCCAACTAAACCCTATCCATTACTTCTCTGATTGAATTTCCTCTCTTTCTCTTTCTTTCCACACTTTACTTTAATCAAACCTCATCATTCCTTGCTTGCTTTTTTGAATATCTTTTTTTTTTTTTTTTAATTTTTCTGTGATGAGAGGATCAAAGGTGTATTTGAAGACGAAAGAGACGGTGAATTCGATGAAACTTTGGAGCTGACGTCTGAGGAGAGGAGTGAAGATATTTTGTGTTGGACAAAAAAAAAAATGGTGGTGAGGAAAGTTGGCAAGTATGAAGTTGGGAGGACGATTGGGGAAGGAACATTTGCTAAGGTTAAGTTTGCTCAGAATACGGAGACCGGCGAGAGTGTTGCCATGAAAATACTCGATCGCAGCACTATTATTAAGCACAAGATGGTCGACCAGGTTTGGATTTTCATCTCCCTCTTTTGATTCTTTATTCTATTTATTTATTTGTGTTTGCTGCCTATATTTGTATAAATTCTGTTTTGTTCAAAATTAGAAACTTGTTATGCTTTCTAAATTCTGCTTTGTTGGAGCTCAAGTTTTAGTAGTCGCTGATTTTGTATTTGTTGCTGGACAATTCAGTTCTGAAGGAGTCAGATTTTGGTTCTTTAGGTTATTAGTTTTTGAAATAAGAGATTAATAAAAGCCTGGTAGAGAGCACTAGGCTGAGAACTTTCCGAAAAATAGCTTAAAAAGGAAACACAACTGTGCTGAACTAAAATAACAATAACGTTGGATTATTGATAACATTATTTAGCTCAACTTGTGCTATTTTATTGAATTGCTTGGCTAAAACTTATTGTGAACCTTGAAGTATCTCGTGCTTATGGTGCCGGGCTGCTAATTTTTTGATAGTTGTGATTGAAATGTTATCATCTGACTGTATCACTGTAGTGGTTCTTATCATTTGCTTATGCAGATCAAAAGGGAGATATCTATTATGAAGCTAGTCAGACATCCACATGTTGTTCGTCTACATGAGGCATGTACCCAAAGTTGATTATTCTTGTGCTTTCACTTTTGCTGTTTTGGGATAATAATTTCTGTGAAGAATAATTTTGATCGATGAGCTATAGCTAACCGTCAATGCTCAATCCTAGGTTATAGCAAGTCGTACAAAGATCTATATCATCTTGGAGTTTATTACAGGTGGTGAATTGTTTGATAAAATAGTAAGTTCTTTTGCAAAATGTTCTCATTGATTGTATTATCATAAGTTTTCCTGCTCTTGACTTGTTCAAATGGTCACTGAATTGGATGTATATGTAGGTACATAACGGAAGGCTTAGTGAAGCCGAAGCTCGTAGATACTTCCAGCAGCTCATAGATGGGGTAGACTACTGCCACAGCAAAGGGGTCTATCATAGGGATTTAAAGGTGCTTCTTTGATGCTCAAAAGGACGGTCATTATTGTACTATGTCTATTTCTTAGACACCCTCTGATACTTATTATATTACACAGCCTGAAAATCTTTTACTGGATTCACAAGGGAATTTAAAGATCTCAGATTTCGGACTTAGTGCATTACCAGGAGAAGTAAGAATCACAAGTATTTAATTCTCTAGTTGATTGACTTTTGTGTATTTGCAATTCTAACTGTTGTTTGTATGCTCAGGGCGTGAACCTTCTGAAGACCACTTGTGGAACTCCTAACTATGTAGCCCCAGAGGTAATCCTTAACCTAGTCTCTAGAGTAGTTGTTGCTTTGAACATCATTTCCTGGAGTATACCATTTATCTGTTTGAATGGTAAAATAGCTAAAGATTTTCATTGTATCTGAGTCGTAGTTTTACTTCTTCAGGTTCTGAGTCACAAGGGTTATGATGGTGCTCTGGCAGATATCTGGTCTTGTGGTGTCATCCTCTATGTTCTAATGGCTGGTTATCTCCCATTTGACGAGGTTGATCTTACTACACTATATGGCAAGGTATCAATTGTTATCCTTTCTGTTCTTTTTAGGTTATTTTGATGACAGAATTCTGTTAAATTGCTTGACCTCGTTTGAATTGCGAGCAATAAATAGACTTTAATGGATTGGAGAATCTGTTTCTATGCAGATTGAAACGGCAGATTTTTCATGTCCAAGTTGGTTCCCAATTGGAGCAAAATCCTTGATTTCTCGCATTTTGGATCCTAATCCTTCCACTGTGAGTCTGACTAGACTGACTTTCTTAGCATTCTATATTTCTGCAACTCAATAGACTGTCTCTGTAAGAATGTCGAGCCACTCGAGTCTATCATTCATGGGAGATAGCAAGAATCTTTCTTGTTTTTTCCTTGCAATTTCCTGTCTGATACCATGTAAAACTCTACCTAGTTTTGTTATGTAGTTCTGTTACCATGGCCTTACTATTATCATGTTTGGTATGAGCAGAAAGTTGTTTAATTGAAATTACGACGCAAAGATTTCTAGGTTGGAAAGTGCTAACATACGTTGAGTTTGCCATTTATGTTATGAATCTGAACATTGTATGGTTGATTTTCATAGCCAAACCTGGGGATTTTTGTTTCCTCTCTGTCTGATACCTTTCCTCTATTTGTGCAGCGCATCCGAATTGAAGATATTAGAAATGACGACTGGTTTAAGAGAGGTTATGATCCTGTCAAACTTACTGAAAGCGAAGATGTTAATTTGGATGATGTGAATGCTGTTTTTGATGATCCAGAGGTTGGTAGATTTTCTATACATTTTACCTGGCTATTTTTATTTTAAATGCTTTATGAATGACAAGATAATGGTTGTTTTTCATAATTTTCTTGCTCTTTGCTTAGGATTGGTCTTTCCACAGGTCTTTGTGGTTTTTTCTTCAACATGATCATTGAGCAAGAGTCTTATGGCTCATCTTTCTCACAATTTGTCCAACTTTGTAGGATGAAGAGGCTAATAATGATCCATCTGGAAACGAGGATGCAGGGCCTTTGGTGCTCAGTGCTTTTGATCTAATTGTTCTTTCCCAAGGATTAAACCTTTCAGCATTGTTTGACCGTAAGCAGGTAAGCTAAAATACATATTTCTCGCTCTATTGTGAGTTTGGAGTTTAACTATTTTTTGTTGGGGATGGGTTAATATGGTAAGTAATATGCTTTAATTGTATGAACATTTCACTTATTAGTGTAAGTTCTATTGCCTACAGGATTCAGTGAATCCTCAGACACGTTTTGTATCGCAGAAACCAGCAAAAGTTATTTTATCTAGTATGGAAGTTGTTGCTCAATCAATGGGTTATAAGACCCATATCCGAAATTATAAGGTAAAACTTTTGGTTCGTCGGATCAGTCTCTCTGTTCAAGACATAAAACCTGCTATATATGATATTGATCTCAACATACTAAGTAATTCATTAACTCCTATTCTGTCAAAACTGTGTCAGATGAGGATAGAAGGTCTTACTGCAAATAAAGCGTCACATTTCTCTGTATTTTTGGAGGTAAGGGTACATGCTTCTTAAGCTGTTCTTACTTTCAATGTGCTATTTTTACTTATATTAAGTTCTTCGTGAACAGGTTTTTCAAGTCGCTCCAACATTTATTATGGTAGACCTTCAGAAAGCAACTGGAGAAACTAGTGAATATCTTAAGGTATAGTTTTGTAATGATTTTATATGACTACTGTCCTTTGCTTAATGCTCATCTGGTCTTTTTAAAGTTGGGGAGGTTTCATTTTATACAGAAGTAATGTAAAAAGTAAGATGGTAACAACTTCCTCTTTGGTGGTCGATTAAACTTGGTCGTAAGCAAAATACAGTACTTGACATTATTATTTGCATATGCAGTTTTACAAAAACTTCTGTAACAATCTCGATGATATCATTTGGAGACCGCCGGGCGAATCATTCAGATCAAGGTTTTCCAAGACGAAGAGTAAAAAGCGTTAGTTTTCTTGTCTTGCAACAACCTTATGCCACCATGATTCAGGGATTGATAGTTGAGATGCGATATATTGTGAATATATGAGCTTTATCTTTAGTCTTCCTTACTAGAGTTGGCAGCCTAACGTGATAGGGAGCCTTGGGAGAAAGTTGCTTCTGGGGCTGTATTGTTCTGTTTGTTTGTCTGTTGTTAATTTTCCTTGGCAGAAATGCAATATGATGTGTCCTTTTTTCACGAATTATCCCTTGTCTTATATGTTGGGATCCGTAAAAGGATAAAAATGATTACTCTAAAACTCGATCGAATATTGAAATCTTGTTGCTAATGAATTCTGTGACTTTTTAACATCGTCATGACGTGTACAGGGAAGAAGAAAATCCAAAAAACGACCTAAGAGAAGACTTATCATTGAAGCTCACCAACCTACAACTAGAAGCCCATAAAAAGATTTGAATGATTGGGTAACAACAAAACAAATTCTTTCTGTGGCATAGGTGATAGGTGTTACAACTTAGGACTACCACGTTGAGGAATCCAGGACCCATTAATTGAACACTTTCAAAATGGAAGACTTAAGCACAAAGAAAGAAAAGAAAAACACGCAAGTCATATGCTAAGTCAAAAAACCATGACATTTGTAGGGTATATGAATGAATCCGCTTATTTAAATTTACGTGGACTCGAGCATGAATGACACAAATTGGAAATATTGGGACTTACGAAATAATTGAAAAGATATTCTGGAGATGTGTAAACAAAATAAAAGTTAACTTTTTCTTTGACAAAATATAGTGAATAATCTTACTATTCGGTACATATCACACCAGTAAGACACTAATTCTACTGGAGAGGTAAATCGGAGTTAATTTTAAATTTATTCTATGAAAATGAGGAATCAAGACTAATTAAAATGAGGATGCAAGCTTCTCCATCGGATGCTATGCCTCGGTTAGAACATGACTTAATCAGAGTATCTTATCCCTAAGATGTATCAGTTTCAACTTAGGTGTTATCGCTTCTTTCTTTGTAACATAAAAATTATAAGATATGTAGTGTGCAGAATGTCAATGAAGGCGTTACCTTTTTGGGTCGGTGTGATCCCTCACCTTGTCGTCCACTTTGACATATTCTCCTCACTCAGAAATTCCATGGCAACATGATTCTAATGGCACCCAGTTTGACGTAAGAGAATTTGCCTTATATTCTCAGTTTCTCACCGAGTTAGCGCCTCAGTAAACGAACTTTGTTAGTAGTATTTTGTTTTACGAGGAAAGAGACAAAATTCAAACACCAAACTATTATGTTGTATGATACTAGAAAATATTGATTCTGTCATATTTCACTCGCGACATTTAACAAGTAGATCATTTTAACAAGTAGTCCCTGCAAAACTAGCAATACTTCCTCTATGAGTGTAGAGTGTTCAATTACAAAAGAGAATGTTCCTTGGGCTACTTTACAGGTGCAATATTGCTCATTTTCTTCCATGTCGCACTTGTCCTAATCTTTTTTGTAGTGCTGAAATACTCGAATCAACTTTTCCTACTACTTTTTGTACTTATTTTCCATTTTTCCTTGATTATCTTTACTTTCTTCTCATACACTTTAAACTTTTGTTTGAAATTTATGAACATAAAAGTTGACAAAATAAGAAACATCGCAATCAGAAACTAGTACAATTCCCAAGTCCTAACAAGTTCCCAATTCCAAATAACGATTAGTTAGAACTTCCTTTCAATAAATACTTCATCCTGAGTCCAGAGTCCAGACAGCCTGCATCAAGTAGGTGTTGGATGTTGGAATTTGTGGAAGTGTATGGTGCGGCTATAAATCATGGACTTTAGGTCTATGGGCAACCGTGTCATTTCCTAATTTTTTAAAAAGAAATTAAGTAAAATTGAATTGAGCATTATTCCGTCGGGTAAGGTATTTATGATTTATCATAAAGTTTATTTAGTATATTCTTTCAATTGAAAATAAAACGTTAACATACACAATAATTGTAAAATACATTTTTAAAGTTTTATTTTCAATTGGAAAAACATATTAAAAAAATTTATGATAAATCAAAATACTTTATAATTAGGACAGGAGAGAATAAAAATGTAAATGGTTGTAAATATTTAAAACAAATCAACATGTTTCAAAATATCTTATTTGTAGTAGAGATGTAAAAGGTTGTAAATAAAAATTTGTAAAGTAACGAATTTAAAAATATTAAAGATGCACAACGTGTTTCATTATTTGAGTTCTGAAACTTAGTGATTCAAAACTGTGATCATATATATATATATATATATATATATTGTTTATTCTTTCAATTCTAAGCATTTTTTTCATCTCGAAATAAGAATTTTGTTTAGTTACGAATATTTTTATTTAAAAAAAAAGGTATAATAAATTATATTATTTTGTTTAGTTATGAATATTTTTATTTTAAAAAAGAAAGGTATAATAAATTATATATTATATCAGCATGATATATATACATAAAACAAAGGAAGCTAGGTGACGAAAATATTACTATCACAGTATCACGTTTGAAACTTTGAATAATGCTTAACCTGTTAACCATTGTCGTAGCAATGAAAGAAACAGTTTCCTTTCCTCTTGGCATGTTTCACATTTCCCTTTTTGACTCATTTTGGATTGTGTTGCTCCTTAAACGACGGTTTGTTTGCCATGATGATCAATATTGGTGATTTTCGTGTTTCCCAATAATAATTTTATATAGTAGTTGAACTGGAATCTATTATTATTTTTATACTTGGAAGATAAAATGATAAGGATAATAAAATAAATCAAAAGGGTCATAGATACATTTGTAATCTTCTTGCGAGATATTGGTGTTCTGTCACTTCTGTGTAGTTTTTTTTATTCATCTGATGCTGATTCATCTACTTACTGATAACGAAACCTTATAATCTCCAAAGGTCAATTTGCAACCAACGACAATGACTCCTTACACAATTGGTTGATTTCATTATCCGAAATCAGTGTCCTAATTAATTGTAACTCTGACCTAAGAAGGTAGTACTTAAAATCATAGTTAAACAGTATCATCATAGTTAAAAACCTTAATAAAATCATGTAATATTCTTAGTCACATACACACTCTCTTTTAGCCATATTTTAAAAATTTAATTGTGATTTTTGTTTCTGTTCAAAATTCATGATGTGCGAGACATATCATGATTATTATAACTTGCGAAACCTAGTAACCTAACAAACAATTATCACAATTTTTTCACAACTCAATGTTCTGTACCATTTTGAGTTGTTCTTATTCCGATCATTAACAATCTCATACTCACAAAAACTTTGTTACTGGTTTAAAACATTTTTTTTACATAATAATCAAAACATGCACCGAACAAATCATCATACACTAAATATAATTAATCCATTAATTTTACAACAAAATGTACCACACTTAATGCGAATTCTTGACAAGAATTTTCCCATCCGGATTTAAGGTGCCAGCCTGTCTACCGTCGATTACCTGTGCAGTCACCGGCGGCATCGCCTGATACGGCGGCGGAGGAGGAGGAGGCTGCTGCATTACATTCACGCCGCCTGGCGCAGCGTAGTAGACTTGCCTTCCTGCATTGTCGAAACTAACTTGCGCATATCCCGGCTCAAGAGGCGGAGGAGGAGGACCGAGCCCAACAGAAGGCCGTACGAGCCCAATTCCCTCGGCATTATTGTAGGCGGCCCCACCACCGGGCTTCGGTTGCGGCTGCTGCTGATGCTGAATTATCGAGGACGATACCGGTGGGCCCATCGGATTGTAAACGGCCGGCGGCTGTTCCCGGTAACCCTGCTCCGGCACCATCCTTGGCACGCCGTAGTACGGCTGATTTACTTGGCCGGTCATCGGAGGTCGCATCACGTTCACCGGAGCTTGATAAACCCCAGCCGGAGTTTGGATCAGGTACATCGGAGGCCCCTCGGTCGCTCCGACGCCAATTCCAGGTGGGAAATGCTGTTGCCCTTGTCGTTCCGGCCAGTACGCCGCCGTAGCGTCCGGCGTAACTTGCTGCAGCGGCTGAGCTGGCTGCGGCGGAGGTTTTGGCTGATAATACTCATCTACTTTCCGCCCGTACATCTCGTGCTCCTGGCTGGAAATCTGCAGCCTCTGCAATTCATGCATCTGCCGTTGAATATCCGCCGGCGTGACCACAGGCTCTCCGACCACGACTGCCGGAGGAGTGACTTCCGGCGATGGGTCCCGCAGCTTCGACGGCGGGGCACGGTGACCGCCTTTCTCCAGCCCGAACAAATAATCCGGAACCCGGGTGGGCTCCACGGCGGCCCCAACAGCCGCCGTGGATTGCGGAGTGGAATTGTCCTTGGGATTCTGATTAACTTGGGCAGCGTTCAACGCATCCAGAAACCACTGCGTCTCGGGCTTGGAATCATCCGACCCGAAGCTACTCACCGACGGCGGATTCCCGTTGGCCGGAAAAATGAACAGCCGGAGCCTCGCCGGCTTGGAAATTGACCGGTGGAGCCGGTCGTATTCGAGCATCATATGCTCCAAATCTTCGTCGTTCGTAACGGAAATCAAAGCATCCAAATCCTCACCGGGCAATTGATACTTAAAACAAACTTCCGCGGAATCGGAGAGGGAAGAAAGCTTAGAAATGAAAGTGGAAAACTTGATGTTGCGATCAACGGAGACAATCTTGGTGTCACCGCCCATGTAAGTGAGCTGATTGTCATGGGGACGGGGGCGAATCTTTCCGCCGTAACTGCACATGAATTTGACCTTGTAATTGTTGGAAGAAGAAGACAAGGGCTCATCCCAGGAAGCATTTTCAGGATCAATATCACGAGACCTGGGTGAAGAATTTACAGAATCTGGATAGGATGGATTATTGTATGGATAATTTTCCATCTTTTTTTGAAGTTTCCCTTTACTGGAGAGGAATTCTCAGGTAGTTTCCTAGTTGTTTTTTTTTTTTTTTTTTCCTGAGCTGAATTAACAGAGTAAAGAAGGAGGAGAGGGTAAAGGAGAAGAAGGCGGGGGACGTGGGACCAGTAAAGAGGAAAGTGTATAATTGAGGATTGCGATTTGGGAAAGTGTATAAGGGAGATGGAAATGGAAGATAATGATGAAGCGTGGAAGTATGAATTGAATTTTTAGACATTGCGGGTGCATTATTATGATGTGTGATAATCTTCTCTATATTCTTACTTCATTCATTATTGTTATTTTGGACAATCTGGTTACATTTTTTCATAATATTTTGTGTGACACTTTTTTCCCGTCTAAAAAATACAGAATTTAATGTGAGTTATTTTATTAGCGCACGAAAGAAATAGTAAATAAGTGTTTTGCAGAAGGAATAATTATTTTGTTTACATTTCTAGTTTTAATATAAATTGAATCAAAAATAAAAATTTAAATTAAAAAATAATTTTAGAATGAATAAAATATCTAATTACAAACGCACAAACACATTACTAAACATATCACAAAGAAACATGGGAAAAGTCATTTCAATTATTTCAATATCAATCAATAATCAATATACGAGTATTAATTACGAGCGCAACCAAGTAGCTCAACAACATGAGCTACAGTGAATTACATGGAAGATATTTACTTCCACCAGTAGCCATTGGTGTTTGCTAAGGCGATGGATTTTTGCACCCACATATTTTAGCACTTGAAGTCACCAATTTTTTAAAAATTCCTATTTTACCTCTGTCATTTTGTCCAAAGTAGAGAGAGAAAGAAATAAGTGACTTAGAGGAAAAAAAAATCGAAAAATCGGACTGAACCGAGCAATATACACGTTCCGGTTGAACCAAGAACGAACAATATACCCGTTCGAGTTTGAAGAAAAACGTGTATATTGCCCGTCCGAACCGGGTTAAATCGAACCGGGTTAAACCGGTTCAGACGGGCAATATACGCGTCCCGGTTGAACCAAGGACGCGCAAAAAACGATTCCGCCTTACCGCCCGGACGAGCGAGCCACGCGTCCCTTTTGAGGCTTGAACGCATTTCTTGCCCGTCCTTGGTTCAACCGGGGCGGGTATATTGCCTGGTTCGAACCAATCCGGAACAGGTATCTTGCCCGTTCTGGTTTTTATTTTTTTATTTACGTTTAATTATGTTTTTTTATTTTTATTTTTTATTTTTTTTGTCATTATATATTATTTTATGATTCTTAGTTGATTATTTGTTCAGTAAGTTAGTTTAGTTTTTAATTAAATTAGTTTTTTTGAATTAGTTATGTTAACAATTAATTTAGTAATTAGTTAAATTTCATTTTGTTTGGTTTATTTAATTAGGAATTATATTTTTAATTTTATATGTGAATATAGTTAATTATAGTAATTTAAGTTTAGTTATAGGGAAATTTAATGTAATATATTTTTTTGATTAGTTTAAATATTTGTTTTTTTATAATAATTTTGTTTAATGTAATTGTATGTTTTTTAATTATTTATTAAAATTGTATATATATTATTTGTTTTTTTAAATAATTTTAAATAATGTTTAATTTAGTTTATTATAGTGCAATATTTTTTTTTGTAATTTTATGTTTAATTTACAGGATTCTTAGTTGATTATTTGTTTAGTAAGTTAGTTTAGTTTTTAATTAGATTAGTTTTTTTTGAATTAGTTATGTTAACAACTAATTTAATTAGTTAAATTTCATTTAGTTTGGTTTATTTTAACTATTTAATTAGGAATTATATTTTTAATTTTATATGCGAATATATTTAATTATAGTAATTTAAGTTTAGTTATAGGGAAATTTAATTTAATATATATTTTTGATTAGTTAAATTTTTTTTATAATAATTTTGTTTAATGTAATTTTATGTTTTTTAATTATTTATTAAAATTGTGTATATATTATTTTTTAAAATAATTGTAAATTATGTTTAATTTAGTTTATTATAGTGCAACATTGTTTTTTTTTGTAATTTTATGTTTAACTTGAAGGATTCGTTCGAAGATTTTGGTGGCAATGGTGAAGATTACAGTGTAGTATTTGCTACAGATGAGGAATTTGCAGAAAAGGATGATGCGGTTGATTGGGTGAAAGGCATGGGCTTAGCAAATGGTATGATAATAAATGTAGTTTCTGGCAAGAGAAAGAATAGTGTTTTGATGAGATGTTGTAAAGGTGGAAAGGTCAAGGGGTCACTTGAAGATGGTGAAAAATATGTCTCAACGGATTCGAAGACACAAATCACTGGCTGTAAATTTAAGGTATCTGTGCACTCAGTTGGTGGAAAGTGGTGCATTTGTGTGTATCCTGGTGAGTTTGGAATGCATAACCATTCCCTGTTTGATGAAGATCATCCCTCGAGGGGCCTTAGCGATGGAGTGAAACAGGTTATACAGGGTATGTCTAAAGATGGGTGCAGACCGTGTCAAATAATGGCAACAATTGAGAGGAAATTTTCAGATGAAAAAGTTAACAGACGGCAAGTCTACAATTACAGGAAGAAATTGCGTAGTCAGGGGTTCCCGGTCTTGGGTGACTCGAGTGCTATGGATGTCGCGACGAAGACACTATCGGTGGCGAAGCATCATCGTTACATCATTATGAAGATTGCAACCAGGAGGTGTGTTGACTCGTGTTTTTTTTGCACATCCTGATTCTGTCAATTTATTTTGCTCTTATTTCTGGATCGTCGGGATAGACTCTACATACAAGACGAACAAGTACAAAATGCCATTGGTTGAGTTTATTAGGATGACACCGTGCAACCAGAACTTCTTGATTGCACACGCCCTCTTGAGTGACGAGACTGGTGAAAGTTATTATTGGGCTTTGAGATAGTTTAGGGATTTGTTTCCTGTTCATCTGTCTCCGGCTGTTATTGTTACTGATCGGGAACCGGGGTTGATGGCGCCGCTGAGTTGGGTTTTTCCAGATTCATGCCACTTGTTGTGTGTTTGGCATGTTTATGAGAATGTAAAGCGACATCTCAACAAGGAATTGAAGTTTGACGCCAAGGTTGCAAATGGTTTTGCATATGGGTTGTGGAAAGACATTGTGGAAGCTAAGAATCAAGATAACTACAATAAAGCTGTTGCCGTAATAAACTGTCATTGGCACAATTTTCTGAAATCTAGGGTGCTTTCCCCAAAAAAATCATGTTCAGTTAGGAGAAGCCAAAACTATTTTTTTTGTGTGTGTGTGGACATTTTCTAGGCAAATCGGATTCTAGAAATCTATTTTCTTAATTTAACTAGTAATCCGGATTCCACAAATCCGACTTTAATTTTTCTATTAAAATAATATTTTCCTGTAATTTCAAAAAGACGAGAAATTAATAAATTACAAATCAGATTAGGAAAATCCGATTATATTAAATCTTTTAAAGAAATAAAAAATAAATAGAATCCCAGGAAAATCCAGCCGTTTATGCGCGGGAAATTTTCAAAAAGTAGTCGAATTCTCAAAATCCGAATTATATTTAATATGGTAGGTTGTAGTAGGCAAAAAACAATAAATACTAACGAATTGGCAAATTCCGACTTCAATAAAACTAGATTCTGCGAATCCGACTTAATTTTGAAGTCGTATTTTTGAAATCTGTCTTCTTTAAAGACGGATTCTTTGATTCCGTTTTTATACTTAATTCGGATTCTCAAAATTTGGTTTTGATTTATTATATAAGAGTAGAAAATGGGATTTACTATTCACAGAACGAAATTTTATTGAGTTCATTGTGTAATTGGGTTCTTTGGGCGGCGATTTGAGAATCTTCTCTAAGGATTATCGGAAGTAAAGTCTTGAATCGTCATCAAAAGGAGGTTAGTGATGATTATTATGGTTTTTGAATAGAATGAGTGATGTTTTATGTGATAAATAATGGTTTCATAGAACCATTGTTTATAGACTATGGAAATTTTGATTTCTTGCCATTTTGTATACGAAATGTGATGTTTTATGAGAAATGTTATGGTTGATTTGAGAATGTATGGATATGCACATGTGTTGAAGATGATGAATTTGAAACTTTGTGTATTTTTGAGATTTAGTCTCTACAATGGTTAATATATTGTTGTGGATAAATAAGGATGTTGTGTAAAACCAGTGTTGATTGGTTTGAGTTTAGGGTTTAATTAGGTGTTGTTTATTTACAATGCATTGTTGAATTGTAGGAGTTTAGGGTTTAGCGTGTTGTTTCTTTGTGTTTAGGGTTTAGGTTTATTCGGATAAAATTGTTCATAATATTTGACAAATGATTGTTTGTTTAATCAACATATGCAAATGGCGTTTAATGGCCCACACATTCTGAATGTGTTTTGGACAAGTAAGTTTGTTATAGAGAATAGCGTTATTAATACTTTTAATATCTTGGCGGATGCATCTATGATGATTGAGCGTAGATTGTCTTACAATGAATTGGTTGGGAGGATTTGTGAAAGAGTTGGGTGGGATAGAGAGATTGAGAAATTGAACATGTCACTATTGTTTGATAGTAGCGATAACGGGTCAAGGCGTTACGCTACAATCGAGGATGAACCATCATTAGAAGTCTTGTATTTTCTTTCTGGAAGTGCATGGTTGGATTTGTATGTGGATACAGAGGATATTACTCACACTGAGAGGGGATGGAACCCGATAAGCAATGCGCATGGTAGTGGTTAACGCCGAATGGGGACGAGTACTTCTCGGTCCAATGATGAAGCCGGGACTAGTCGGGATGAGTTGTTGTTTCAAAATCCGGCTAATGAGGATTGTATGGAAGACCACAGTGATCCGGGCTACGAGGACCCAGCTAATGAGAATTATATGTATTACACTGATTCGAAGGATTCGGACTACACATTAGGGAGTGGTGAAAGCAAGGAAGGGCATTCAGTGTCTTCAGAAAGTGATGATAGCGGTTATAAATCCGAGGAGTTTGAAGAAGAAGAACTAGTAACTTCCGTACCAGAGCGGCACATATATAGCGAAATGGGCAAATGGGATCCGTCCAGTGTTGACAGAGATCAATTCAGTCTTCCTAAGTGGGATGGGACACTCGATTCTATAAAGTTAGGCACTTGCTTCAAAAATAAGAAAGAAGTGCAGAATACTATTAAAGGCGTGGAGTGTTTCAAGACAGAGGGAGTATATGGTTAACGATAGTGACCGGAGAATGTGGCTATGGAGTGGAAATCTTTAAAACACCCTCCTATTGAAGGTTGTACTCCATGTTTGTGGCAGATGCGTGCCTCGTTAAAGGACCACGGGTT